CGTTATATTGGCTCGCGACATATAGGCTCCCGACAAATGAGCTCCCGACATTTAGGCTCCCGACAAATGGACTCTCGACAAATAGGCTCAGGACATACTGGCTCCCGACATATTGGCTCCCGAAAAATGAATGGCATGACCACTATTGGCATAAAAGTAACCATTTTGTCCTACTTCCACTACTACTGTAACCTCTTTAATGCCTCAATGAAATTGTTTTTCATGAACCAACATCAATTCACAAACAAATCAAGCCCTTAACAGCTAAAATTTACCAGTTCTAAAAATTTTGATAATGTTTAATTTACAACAGTAAAAATCTGTTGCATAAAAGTGAGCACAGAAGTGAAAATATATGATATACAAGATGTTTACAGGATAACGACATTTTGTTTTGATAACCTACAAGCATACTGGAGGTAGGAAAGTACATCGTGGACCCTTCTCCCCACACACTGAGTTGGAACAGCCTATAACCGACTCAATTATGGAAGTCATAGATAGATGACCCTTAAATTAAAACATACTATATTTTATAATAGATAAACTAATATAAAAAAATAAGAGATGCATACGTTGTATTACTTAAGAGTGTTGGATAAGCTAACTCTAAAGAATATTGATTAAGGGGTCCCACTGGCAGGTGTCATATTCAATGAGACCGCTTTGCCGGGAGACTTAGTCTCTACAGAAACGGTATTGTCAGTGGTCCTTTTGTCTGGAGCCAAATTGACAGGAGCTGTTTTTGTCGTGAGCCAAAATGACGCTAGCCTATTTGTTGGGAGTCGTAATGACGGGGGCCGTTTTGTGGAGAAACTAAATGGCGGGAGCCTATTTGTCGGGAGTCGTAATGACGGGGGCCGTTTTGTGGAAAAAACTAAATGACGGGAGCCTATATGTCGGGAGCCAAAATGACGGGAGCCTATTTGTCAGGAGCCTTATTGACTGGAGCCCTTTTGTCGGGAGCCTATTTGTGGGGAGCCTAAAGGACGGGAGCCTATTTATCGGGAGCCTTTATGACGGGGTCCATATGTCGCTGGCCATTTTGACGGGGTCAATTTGACGGGGCTCTTATGTCGGGGTCGTTTTGTCAGTGGCCGTTTTGACGCCGCACGGCACAATACAATACCTTTATATTTAACTCATCCTTGTTCTACAGCCTACAAACATGCGAGTCATTACAATAGTTATATCACAAAACTAAGCCACGATTTTTACTAATCTTTTTCCTATCTCATTATGTCGGGGGTTTTGTACTTACATTTAGAATCTCAATTCAGACTCATTTCAACACAGAAGCCTCTTTCAAATTTTCGTATAAACGCATTTCTGATGACAACGCACAGTGATCTCTTTTTTACCTAATTGGATATTAAACTAGTCATTAAATTTTAATGTAAAGATTATTACATACAGTAAACCATCAAGATGCACTTGTTAAACTCCAACGTGAAATCAGCACTGAACTCCGTACAACACCTGGAGTCAAGTTGAGTAAAATGGCACAGGACAGAAGACTTTGATTAACCGCCCATACCCCTGCAGGGGTGACGGGTAGTGGTGGTGATGATTAAATAATACAACATTCTTTCTTAACTCTAGTAATAAATGGCAGATAATACTAGTCGGGAGTTTGTAAACTTAATTAATAACAATGCACATTTGGTTATTATCTGAATATTGACTGACTAATTATTAGATTTTTTTAAAACCTCAATAATGAAAAGCCTTAGCCTAAAATGGACTAAAAGTAATAACAAACACGGACTTGATTTAGCTAGAATACTAAATGTGTTGATGGCTAACATGCAGTGAAAACATGATTCTATTTATACAGCTAAAGAAAATGCATGTCCGTTTAGTTTTTATTTTCGGTGCATTTAAAAGCTTTTAATTATTAATGTTTTATTCATGTTTTATTAACGATCAAAACAAACTGCCTAAACCTGGTGTGCTACAGAGCGTGTCACCCATCACATTCCATACCAGCAAGGGGGGGGGGGGAAGGGGGGCGATAGGCATTGAGCATGGAGTGGTGTCGGGCGCTATCCTAAAGTACAAGCAGTATAGAGCCAACTCTAGCTAGCAATTGTATTACCGTGAAGCAGCCCTTGAAGTGGTTTACCAGAGAAAAGAGTATGAAAATGTCAAAGAAAGATAAAGAGCCGATGGGTTCCACAGACAGCTAAGCAGAGGCTACTGAGGGGCCAGACGATGGTGGAGGGGCCACTGCATCACTGGGAGCCGCATCTACATTAGAGGGTCATTACATCATAAGGAGCCGCATCTACTTTAGAGGGTCATTACATCATAAGGAGCCGCATCTACATTAGAGGGTCATTACATCATAAGGAGCCACATCTACTTTAGAGGGTCATTATCATAAGGAGCCTCATCTACATGAGAGGGTCTTTACATCATAAGGAGCCGCATCTACATTTTAGAGGGTCATTACATCATAAAGAGCCGCCTCTACATTAGAGAGCCACTGGATTGTTAGGAGCCACATCTACATTAGAGGGCCATTACATCATAAGGATCCGCATCTACATCAGAGAGAAACGGCATCGCTAGCAAGCGCATCTATATTAGAAGGGCATTAAATCATTGGTAGATCCACGTCTTTATAAAGAATCCACATCTTCAATATGTCACCCTATCTACACCGATATTAGGGAGCCATGACGCTTTAGTTAACAATATCTATTCTACATAGAGGCACGACTATATTAGGGAGCCATGACATTCTAGTTAGCAATATCTATTCTACATAGAGGCACGGCTATATTAAGGAGCCATGTCTAAAATAATGAGCGGTTTTACATTAACCAGCAACTGCTTTTTCATGGGGTAATGTGATGACGAAGAAAGACAAAACCCACATCCACGTAATTAAGGCAAGCTAAACACTTTATTAATTAGTTAGGTTTTCGATGCTACCTTTTCAATCATGAAGTTTGTTTAGGGTATGGTTAAGGATAGGGTAAATTAGCCATATCACAAATGAAGAAAACAAAATGTTTCAGTGTAAGAGGATAAAATCGGCATGCAAGTTAAAACACAACACAAATTTTGAAACGACACCCGCAGCTCAAAGATTGCCTTTAAAGGTCTCCAATAAAATATTAAGGTTCCCGTGATTGGTCGATAAAACAATAGTCACGTGGGACGATGCACGTGCAACACGGGTCACGAAGTCGAGTACACGCTGTGTGTAGTTGTGATGGAGATCTACTTTAGTACACAGGAGAGATAGAGACAGAGAAATCAGCAAAGAGAAAGATCGGCATACAACTCGTTGAGAAACTGTACAATCTACCATGGAACAACAGAGAACCTACGATGGACCAAAAACCAACAACATATAGTACTAGTACTACGGACCTATAGACAACAACTTAGAACATACACAAAACTATCAAATACACTTTGGTAGCGTTAATCTGTGTACTGCTTTGTAGCACACATTGAGAAACAGTACATAGTGAGAGAAGACACGGCACACATCAAAAGAAATATTGTACACACTGAGCGAGAACATGACACACATTGTGATAGAAACATATAGTACACACTGAAGGAAAGAGAAATTAGTGAACAGTGAGAAGGAGAGAACACACATTGTTCACAGATAGTGAGGTTATAAAAGCACGTATTATTAAAGCAGACACGTAGCTTAGTCTCGACATCTGAGTTGGTAAAATTCACACCGATTTAAAACTTTATTTATTTAAGTACTGTCCACATGACAAGAAAGAAAGTCAGCTACAACTTCTTCAAGGCATGAACTAGTCTAGGTGAAATCATTCATCTCGCACTTTGGTCACACATAAAAAAAATCATTACAAAATGAGTGCGTTCAACTCGTAGTGCTTAGATATATTAAGGCTCTGTCTTACAACTTTCGATACATGGGATATTCCGGTTCATAAATCTTACAGAATTATTTTAAGTATTAGGGTAACAAAACGGTCATACAATTTCTGAACTTAATAGCGCAGACCAGTTTGATTTTTTAAAAATCACCTGCCAACCGTCATGTAAGTAAAAATTTACACATACACACACAAAAATAAAGAACGATTAAAACAACGCCACAGGTGTGTCAATGTCTGAATAGTGATCAATGGAATCGATCCCACATTAAAGCTGTTGATCGTTTTTATTCCTGAACACAAGTGCCCCACGGACTGGTGTACCGCTAGCTCAGACTGGGCCGTTGGGGTGTAGGCCGAGACATTTCTACCTACAACTGGAACTAGCGGCTCACAGAACTACAGCACACATCCTGATTTATTTAGGTTATTTAATAGATAGTATTTGGTCGGTCTGAGGACGTATAGAAGCTATTTTTGCTGGTATCGCTGCCATAATCCTGGACCTCACGCTATTCTTAAACATAAATCTAAATCTAATCGAATACAGATATAAAACCACATGGTACGATACGATACTGTTGTAACTAAAATCATCAACTGCCAGCACATTACCTAAATTTAGATTTTAACTAGGTCACTAGAAATAAGTTGTGATAAGATGAATACGTTTTTTTTTTCAAAACCTATGCAACTATTTCTAACTCACATATAGCTGTTCTACCAGTATTTTTAAGTCATACATGAATCAGATGTACCACCATTTCTAACTCATATATAACGCAGTTCTACCACCATTTCTAACTCACATATAACGCAGTTCTACCACCATTTCTAACTCATATATAGCGCAGTTCTACCACCATTTCTAACTCATATATAACGCAGTTCTACCACCATTTCTAACTCATATATAACGCAGTTCTACCACCATTTCTAACTCATGTATAACGCAGTTCTACCACCATTTCTAACTCATATATAGCTCAGTTCTACCACCATATTTAAGAAACGTACTCAAAAAATAGAAGATCAAAATACCAATCACCCTAGAAGAGCGTATCAATCCCAGGCACATGCTTATATTTGTAAAAAAAAAAAATTAAATGAGAGCGTGAAACGAACCCCGAACTGTGAGGTGTCCGAGTCCCGTGTGTAGTGGGGGGTGGAGCTGGTCAAGCAGAAGAGCAGGATCCAGGAGAAGGGCACGAGATACATGGCATCCAGGACACTCATCCTCGCGCGGCCATAACTCAATCGTCCAGCAGGTCACATACTCAATGGACACGCCTGCTTCACATGGCATCGACTTCTGTGGAAACAAGATTCGACGGTTAGAAGAACAAGACAACATAACAAAAACAAACTGCCCCGATCCCTCCTTAATCGTGAAAAGGTACAAAAAAAAAAAAAATTTAAATATTAGTTTACGTATCCCAGCTTGAATAACACGCTACCTAATCCTCCCATAATGAAGGAGTTGCGAGCAGGCATAGTTCACAACTTATCGTTTGTTACAAAACGTCTGTGTATGTTGTGGATCTCTTAAACTTAGTGCAGACGGCGGTATCATTGCAGTTGTTACTTTTTATAACCATTTTAAACTGTCGGAATTTTTATTTTAAACAATGCGAATTTTAATAAGAAACTCAAATTTTAAACACCTCCTGTTGCGTTGTATGGAATAATATAGGGTTGCTCTAATAAGGAAAAATTGCAGAATTCGTCAATAACCATGTAGCTAATATCGCCGTGAACTGTTGAATATATAATTATAAATATATGGCAGTGCAAGTTAAACCGCTGAGAACCTAAATACAAGTGTTTCTTCCAGACTTTATTCTCCGGGGGGGGGGGGGGGGGCAGACACTGTTAAATGTATATATTTTCTATATAAATTCCATTTCGTTCGGGGGGGGGGTAGACTTTTTTCGGGGGAGCGGATGCCTGGAAGAAACTCTGCTAAGTACTGGATGTCGGAAGTGAATGTTTTAAATGTGTTTAAAAAGGAAGATGCGTAACATACAAACAACCGAGACCCTGATTAAATAGGGAGAACGTTTTGTTTTGACAGCTCAGTTATAAAACCAGTATTGCTTGATGATCAGCGAACCTTGTCTAAGTTGCACTCTATAAAAAGAGGACTGTCAAAACGTAACCATTTACACAACTTTTCTGATGACTAGTGCACCACGTGCAGCAATGTCCGCCCTATGGTGCCAAAACTTCAGAAAAACTTCGACATACTCAACGTTAAATTCTCCTCTCTCTCTCTCTTCGCTATAATACTTTAAAACCGTGATATTGTATTTCCCATCTCCCAACCTGTTATTTAATTTAACGTCAGAGGCTGTATGCCTACGTATAAAATCTGTTCACCCTTTTTGCCTTCCGTCATTTCTTACTGACGACGTTTCTTACCAGAGCTTCTTACAGACATTTTTCTACGGGAAGAGGGGTGGTGGGGGGACGAGGTACACTTTGAATTTTAGGGTGTGGGGAGACACTAATTCAAGTAGGACATTTTCTATATAGATGATACTTTATTTCTATTTCGCCCGAAGAGAGGCTTGAGCTGTGTACAAATACAATTCACATTGCGAATAGCAACCTAGCTGTACTGAAGGCAAAAACAAGTTCTGTCCCGGTAAACGGAAAAAAAGTCACAGGAAAAAAAAACACAGAAAAAAAGTCACAGTTTTTGCTAGGAAAAAAAGTCACGGAAAAAAAGTCACAATGGAAAAATTTTATCGGAAAAAAAGTCACAGAAATAAAGTCACAGAAAAAAAGTCACAAAAAACTTTTTAGAAAATATTTTGAAATATTTTTAATTAATTTGTTAAGAATTGTAAAATTTTGTATGTTTATTGTTGTGGGTTGTATTTTTTGATAGCATAAATTATTTATAGAAGTTAAAAGCATTATGGTTTTTAAAAAGTGTAAGTAAAAATACTCTTAAGATAATTTACACAGCAATCTCAACTTTTGTGCCGTACTTAGTTAAATTTAGGCACATTGTGTTTTGCATATGTTTTGCCACAGGCTATTCTCTGGTCGGCCTCTCCTCAGTAGGCATTGTCCGAACATATTGTGTGTTGTTGACGTTATGCGTCAATGACAGCCTTTGAACCTTGTCGGCTTTCTGTTTTGATCTTCAGTTTTGTTATGTAATGAGCGTGATAAATGTGGGCAGTAAAGGTGGTTGAACTAAGCATAACTATTGTTGCGATGAGTTGAGGGCAGTAATTCAGATGACCTTACCTTTTCACGGTAATTTAATTTTTAAAAAAACACGATGAAAACCGTGGACATTCTATTAAATGCTATAAATATTATGTTTAACATAATTACAACCTACATAATTCATAAAAAATATTTTTAGATGAATTATAAAAATTACTATGCGTTTATAAGCTTCACACATTACATTAAATTAATCCTAAGTTAATTTGCACTCTCTGAATATTTAATACATAAAAGCATTATCAAATTCCATGCAAATATATATTTGTGACTTTTTTTCCTGTGACTTTTTTTCCTGTGACTTTTTTTCCTGTGACTTTTTTTCTGTGTTTTTTTTTCCTGTGTTTTTTTTTCCTGTGACTTTTTTTCCTACAATCTCTGTCCCACGGTCCTTTGCTGCTACATTTGATTGGTGGGCTCAATAACTGGGTCTGATGTTAGCTTTTTCAGGGACCAGCGCTGATGAGAGATGTAACTAAGTTGTCGGCCAATTTACAAGTCTTGCTTTGGTCTCATGCCCAATAAAAAGTGACCACCCCCCCCCCCCCCCCCCCCCCCCCAGTGTTCAGTTTTTCCTCTTGCCGTTTCCCCATTTACTCATACGATGTTCTTTCAGTAGTTTCAGAAGTATTCTGCGTTGCTCATTTATGGACAATCCGATTAAGAAAACCTTACTTACAATGTCAAAATATAAACAAGCCAATGGTATTTTAAAGCTTGCCATCATTACATACGGTTATTGAATTTTGTATAAGTAAGTGTAACAGAACTCACAAGATCTTATAATCAAATCAATATTCTATGAATGCCCATGAACACAACCAGTTGTTATATTATGGCAGTGTAAGTACAACACATCATTTCTAAAATGATTGGGAACTTGTGTCTTTTTACAATTAAAAACTGGACAGTAGAATATGCACATAATAGCCGACACAAAGTAAATGATTCAGGACACCAAAAAATATACCTTAGAATAGACTGCACACACAAAAATTAGGAAAGTAAATACATGGTAAAATATAAGTGATTATTGTAATGACTGCATTTAGGAATTAAGAAAATAATCTGATGTACAAGTTCTATTAGCTGAGGGTTTTTTCAGGTTATTTAATATGGTTTTAAGCAATTAAATTTCAATAGTACTATCAGCATAGCGCCTATAACTGGCACTTACACTTAAATGGCATTACACAGTGTTGTTGGGGGGGGGGGGGGGGTGTTGAAGATCAAGTGCATGTACTCAAAAATATAATATACCCAAAAATCCACCTAAATTGCAATCCACCAAACTCCCCAACTAGATGGAAAGTATCTAAATGTTTTGCCTAAATTCAAAACAACAATACATTGATAAAGAAGTTTTAATTAACAATAAATCCAGTATGTTTTCTATAGATGTACACCATATGCTTGTGTATGTCTTTACACTTTACAAAACCAATTTCTGCATCCATAATAATATTTAATTAATAGTAATAGATTCTAAGTTAATTATATGAATAGGTAGTTATGGTTAATCAATATCAGCAAATTTTCTAGTAAATACTTAAAATGCTAAGCATGTGGCTTAAAATTGCTTTGTGTTATACCTAACATAAAATCCCCAGCTGAACCCAAGCTTTAATTCTTCCTGCAGACATTAATCAATTAAAAACATACCAATAACTATCAATGTCATTCACACTGAATCATGAATGTGGATATCAAATTACCACCTTATCTGCAGGGGTAACTTCAGTTAGCCAGACCAAAATGAATAAAAACATCATTCCTCCAATACATTTAATTTATGATGACTCACCAAAAAAAGTATCTTGTAGTGAGGAATAATATAATATGACTGCTAAATTCAAATTAATTTAGAATCAATACCATGTAGTGCAGTGACTTAACAATACAAGAAAATAAAAACAATATTTGTCAATTAAGAATTATTTGTACAGATATTCAATAAAGTAACACCACACATCAATGCTTAATTAATCAAAAACATATAAAGATTTTTAAAACTAAGAGCTCTGAGCTACAAACTAACTAAAGAAATGTTAAACAAAGCAGAAATACAATAGTTCTTCACTGAAGGTAAGGTTTATGACTATTAGTATAACCTAGTTAGGCTTACCTTTAGCTATCAAAACAATTATCTATGGGAGTATGTACAGTCTTTTTACAGTGTCAATTTGAAACTAAAGTTCTGCGACCAACATGTCAGCAGAACATAAATCTTATCACAATGTAATCCAAGTGAACAATAAAACAATTTAAAGTCTATTTACAGCTCAAATCTTCCAGGATAATTAATAAGACAACAGTGGCGTCACAAGATGTATTGTATACTGCTAACCCGCAAGTCTAGAGTCTGGATCATGGACTCATGTCTATAGGAAATCCCTGAGTCCACCCAGCTCTGATAGGCACCTGACTCATGTTAGAGAAACAACGACGGTGAGTATACTATTATAGTGATGACCACACTAGCTGAGGTAATTGAAACAGATAAACTCTACTTCATCTGTCCCATGTCTCTTGGGCATGAATGAAAAAAGATGATAGTAAAGGTCAAAGTAGCAAAAAAAGAAAGTGGTCGGATGAATATGTACATGGTTTTACATGTACAATGGAACTTGTCAGCATTCTGCAAGGTTTGCAAAGCCAAGTTGAGCAATTTTAGTTAAGAAATCACTTCCTTAAAATGCATGGAGATGAATATACAAGAAAACACTCGCTGAATTCAAGTTGAAGCCAAGCATTTCTGAACTGAACTTAGGGCCTTGGAAGGCTGGCGGGGGGGGGGCAGAAGCTTTGTCCAAGTAGTCACTTCATTTTCATTATTATAATTTTTTGTGTAGGTCTAAGTCATTATTTAATAGTTTCGTTATTTGAACACAGTGATGTTGATGCACAGTTCATTTTGCACACAGTTAAAATATATATCATGTTTTGAATTTTTTTAAAAATTATTATATTTTTCCTATGGACACCATCATAAATGTAATTTGCAGCTTCTTTATAATATATCACTAATTCTTAAAATATTACATTTTTGCAATAATGATTTTATAAGGAAGTAGCTATTCGGAACAGGGTCCCAATGGCATTCACCACTATTGAGACCCGGTATAATGATAGTTGTTATTATTTACATTTATAGTTATTATTAGTTACAAAGTTACATAACCTGTTTTAAAATGTATGTAAAATCAGATTTTTTGTTATTTTGTAATTTTTTCAAACTTTTTTTTTGTTATTTACGTATCTTGCATGTTGAGTGAATTTTAAATACAAATATAATAATAAAAATGTGAAAAAATTATCGAAGGCACAGTGACTAAGTCGATAGCAAGCCGACTTCTGATGAGACCATGCTCCGATCAGAACCTTCCTACGCGACTATTTTTTTGGTTTCGTATTACCTCGAAAACCGGAAGAAAAAATAAATAGGCAATTCAAAAAACCAATATGGCATATTAATAAAAAGTAATCTGGACAGCCACATGGTCAATTCACGCTATTAATTGCAGTCTGCATTCGTTTTCTAGCATTGCTTTTTTATAATGCAAAATCGTGACGCCACATCATCTGAACACCCCCTCTCCCCCATTACACACCGTCACAAAATTACGGACCCCCCTTCCACCCTACGAGTGTGACGTCATTTATTTACGACCCCCTAACCTAACTGTAACACTAGGAGATTACAATACTACTAACAACCTAACTAACATGCCTATTTTTGGAAGAATCTAAAATCGGTCATCTGTATCTTCAGACCACCATACATATGAATACAGGTTATGCGTAACTAATATGCCAAATAACTATAATTATACCAGGTCCCAATAGCGGCCGAGGCTATACGGACCCGGGTACGAATAGACGCAACCATTTTATAATGATGGATGGATTTTTCTCAGCTGGACTGATCGCTAATGTCAATAATGTCCACAAGTTGTTGTTGTCCATTAAGACGTTAGATCTATGTCCCGTTATGTCTTGATTCTAGAACTAATATAAGAACTAAAGGGTTCATTTTGTGAACCAGTAACCTAGGCCATTATTCAGGGGGGAACCTAGAAGAATAATTTAAAATTTAAAATTAGTTTAAAGTTTAAGAGTTTAATGTGTAAGTTAAGATTAGTTAAGATTAAGAATGTTATGAAATACTGATCTAGATTCTAGATATCTAGATCTAGAATCTAGGCGTCTACTACAAATCTAGACACTGACTAGAATCTAGAAGAATCTATTCTATTCAATTCTATTCTAACTGAGTAACTGACTGGTGAAAGTTACTGAACTTTGAAGTGAAAAGAAAGTCTTAACAACTAGATCTAGATCTAGATCTAGATCTAGATCTAGGCCTAACAACTTAGATTTCTATTTTCTACTAACAAGCCTAACTAACTAGTAACTAGACTCTATAGGCCTAACTAATTTAACTGAAATATAGAATATCTTACCAATCAGATGTAGATCTTAATCTAGATAGCTGATAGATATCTAGATGTCTTCTAGAGTTCAGTTTTTAATTGTTAATAATCAAAGTATCCAATTTATCTGTAACAATTAACTAGATCTATATTCAACACTGCGTACAATCGTATATCCACAGGTCACCGATAATTTTTTTTTCGACTCGGTATCGCTACAATATTCATAACACACCGCTTTAGCATTCTTGCGTGTGGTGAATCAAAATGTATAGACTACATAAAGGAGCAGGAATCGATACCTGTAGGCTATGATTCTACATTCTGTTCCATTAGTCTAAAATCATAAAAATTAGTATTTGAACTTAGCTGTACTCTTATAATACATTACAAGTCACACAAACAATGCGTCTTATATCTTAATGAAATGGCAATGTGATTACTTCCAAATAAATTAATCATTGACTTAAATAAGGTCACGCACTGTCGCTGTTTTCACGGATAGGCCTAGCTATCAAAACTGAGAAATGCTGCAACATGAAAAAAAACACGCTAATGATCCGTGCGTGCTAATGACATGCTGTACATGGACACAACGGTCAAAAGTGTAGATTACAGACAACGGCTAGGCCCTAACAAGAGGAAACAGGGATCACTGGTGTGCTACAAATTAATAAAAAATATAACCGTGAGGAAGTTGAAAGGCCGTCGCATCCAGTACCCGTACTTATGTAGGCGATACAACTAGGGCCAGGAAAGGAGTTTTGAAATGAAGTGATGAATATGTGTAGTGTGTAGACTCTACCAAAATTCTATCATTTTTTAAATCACTTTATAAGATGGTTGTCTACATCAGTGGCGTAGCGAGGTCGGGTGTCACCCGGTGCGGCACTTAAATGGTGTCACCCCCCCCCCCCCCAGAGGACAAACTTTCAAATTTTCGATTTGCACCCCCCTCAAACTTTCGATTTGCACCCCCCCCCTCGAGTTTTCGATTTGCACCCCCCCCCCCCCCCCTCAAACTTTCGATTTGCACCCCCCCCTCGAGTTTTTCTCTATATATTTTGCTATTTTTTGCCTTGGTGTCACCCCCTAAATGGTGTCACCCGGTGCGGTCCGCACCCCCCGCCCCCCCCCCCTCGTTACGCCCCTGGTCTACATTAATATTGTCATGGTCTTCGTCGTCTTGAACACCCACATTTTTCAGTACAGGTACTCGATACCAAATAGCCTACTGCAGTTGCCTTATTCATAACAAGTTCTAGGAAGAGGAGATAACTGTTGTATGTAGACAGGTCAGGAGTAGTATGACCAGAGTTTTCTAACCTATTTCCAGATAACATTACTATCTTTCTATATACATAAGTATCTTCATACATAAGTATGTGTGTTTGTCCCTTAGGCATTACTAGTACCAGGGGCGGATAAAGCTTGAGCAGGGGGCCTAAAGCTTGGTTATCCGATAATCTTTGATATAAAGCAAACACAGTATTCCGACAGAGCAGACTGCGCTGACCAGATCGCAACACTCATCGTCATAGTTGAGTACCAGTTGAGTGGTATTCGCCACCACTGTACATTAATTTCTTTGATCATAAAAAAAAACTGTAGAAAGTGTAGATATGAGTGCCGCTCGGAAAGCTCCTACAACACAGCGACATTCAAAAGGAGGTAGTAAACCTCATTAAGAACACACAAATGACGACAAATGGGACCATCGTCTGAGTTGTTTACTAACTTTTTAAAAGTGCAAACCAGAGCCGGCGTTAGGGGGTGGCAAACGGGGCGGCCGCCCTAGGCCCCGCGCCTGAAGGGGCCCCGCGCTTCAGCACTGTCATTGTTATCTGAATTAGTTTGTAAACTTAAATAAATTGTTGCTAAATTCAATGGGGAAAAACTAAATGGTCGAATGCCAAAGTTGTTGATTGTTATAACCGAGGCCACGGTTGATGTTGGTGAGTTATCACCCACATGAACTGGGAAAGGCCGTAATTCGATACCAAAACAGTGTTAGACCTCCCCTTTGTGTAGGGTACGGTCGCCTGGCATTTGACCTGAGCTGACTGGAGATGGCAGTCGAGAATTAGCCCACGACCTGACATGGGATGTAAATTTGGGAAACAGGTAAAAAGATACTCTATTGTATGCGGACCGATGAAGACGTTCTCTTAGTGAGCAGAGGGATGCCTGTAGTAGACAGTTAGTGACCTGATGAACGCTAGTCCCGACTTTCTTGTTGTAGATGTCGTATATGTAGCCCTACTTGTCTTGGTATAACAAAATTAACATTCAATTGCATTCAGAGGGGTGGGAAGAGGGCGATGAGGGGGGGGGAGCCCCTTAGGATCTATATCAATGGGCATTAGACAGAGTGATTTATTATTATTTTTTTTTTGAAGAAAGTTAAAAGTGTTGATGAAGCATGTTTTTTTCTATCATTAGCAGGTTTACGTCATGGTGTCACCACCCCCCCCCCCCTTGTCGGAATTTATCAAATTTGCTCTTTAAAGACTATTTAACACTCTAATTAACCACTTTTTAAAGTGGAACTATCATTTTTTGTATATGTTTTACTATTTTTTTTGCCTTGATGTCCCGTCCCCCCCCCTAAATGGTGTCACCCGGTGCGGTCCGCACCACATCCCTCGCTACGCCCATGCTTTTATATTAACAATTAGTCATCAACAAACAATTTAAGCAACTAATTATTTGGCACGTGATTGAATTTTCTTAAGTGATTTGGTATGAATTACATATCTGTCAAAAGTTATTAAATATCTTAGCAAGAAAAAAAAAACCACTAAGAACATTGGGTTAAAACGTGGGAGAGGTAAACATCTGTTATTTAAGTCTTATAGACTCCAAAACATTTAAGTGTTATTATGTGTGTATGCATATTATATAGGACTACACACACACAAACACACACACACATATATATATATATATATATATATATATATATATATATATATATATATATATATATATATATATATATATATATATATATATATATATATATATATATATATATATATATATATATATATATATATATATATAATGGAAAAAAGCAGGCCCCGCGCGGATGGTTGGCCCTAGGCCCCGCGTATTCCTAACGCCGGCTCTGGTGCAAACATAAGCAATATGAACGGATTTCTTGGAAAAAAACTTGATGCAAATGCAAGAAAAGATAAATATAGTACCAAATAAGTTTAAAATATATTCAATGTCAAATTATTACTTGAATATCATAATATAAAATATACCAGCATACTCGTTTACTTGTACAATAATAAATTGGCCTACCTTGAACTGTAACACCGCGTTTACACTTACGACATGTATACTAGACTTGACCTACTAAAGTGTATACTAAACATGTTACGAGCATATGGAACATCTTCTGAGTCGCAGGGCACAAAACCACGCCCCTTTTTATGATCTGGGTCAAGTTTTGTCTTCGCTCGCTGAGCGAAAACATAGTACATGTTCTGAATTTTCAGATGAGGGCGCATGCGTCGAAAAGTAGTAAGCGCATCCTAGGCCCTAGGTCTCAGCTGATTGCAAAATTAAATAAACTATAGACCTACTGATCTTTAGTTTTTGAGCCCACAATTTCATAATTATATTTTTATAATTACTTATTATTACTTAATTAAATCCCAAACACGTTTTAATTTTTTTTAAAGTGTAATGTCCAAGGCATTACAATTTTGCCTTAAAACCAGTTTAGGTATTAATTACGAAAATAATAATTATTTTAAAAATATAATTTGACCAAATGTATCTCAAATTTTTACTTTACCAGTATTTTGTTTTAAGTGTATCAATTTATTTTCAGTTTCCGTCTGACATGAATAAATCTTTAGGCCCACATAATGTGCTCGTGAGATCACACATAATCAACTGACTAAAAAAACAGGCAGATAAAAAATTCATAGTCTAATTATTTAGGTTTAGAATGGGACATTCGGGATGGGAGGGAGGGGTAATAACATGTGGGCAATGTCTACTACCCGTGCTATTATACACAGCATTATATTTATTTTTTAAAAAAACTGTCTAACTCCATTTGCTGGCACTCCAATAAAATTTATAAAATCTTGCATGTTCTCTAATTTTTAGATAATTCATTGTTGAATTGCAAGCGCCGTGGCTACACTATTTTCCTTTTTAAAAAATAAAGCTGTGTGCCCACTATCTACTTGTTTTTTAGCGCAATTTCCATACGGACAATTGCGATTATTAACTCGTCATTTCTGGATGTATGAATGGATGGATGTGTGTCCGCAGCTTTAAGTGGTATCTCCTCCTCAACGAAGCAATATCGAGGACTAGTTCCAAAAGCAAATATGTTAAGCAAGTTCCAATGATGATTGTGGGCCAAAATAATTCCCGGAATTCCTTCCTGGATTTCCCGGAAAAGCCAAAAAACAAACCTCGAACAAATGCAGTTTTTTGTCCATATCTCGGCAACCAGACCACTTAGCGACTTGAAACATTTACCAATCGATTCCTGCCATAATTTAGAACAATATTGCCGAAGAAAGTTTTCAAAAATATCCTTTCGTTCGGTCACAAAAACATATTTACTACTTTTTTAAACTGAGCATCTTGTAGGCCTAGGAAGAACATTTAAACTGAGCAACGTGTAGGCCTAGCATGATATTTACTACTTTTTAGCGCAATTTCCATACTGGCAATTGCGTTTAATAATGCGTCATTGCTGGATGGATGGATGGATGGATGTGTGTCCGCAGCTTTAAGTCGTATCTCCTCCTCAACGAAGCAATATCGAGGACTAGTTCCAAAAGCAAATATGTTAAGCAAGTTCCAAGGAAGATTGTGGGCCCAAAAAATTCCCGGAATTCCTTCCTGGATTTCCCGGAAAAGCCAAAAAACCTCGAACAAATGCAGTTTTTGCTCCATATCTCGGCAACCAGACCACATTAGCGACTTGAAACATTCCTGCCATAATTTAGACCAGAAACTTTTCAAAAATATCCTTTCGTTCGGTCACAAAAAATTAATTAAGAACATTTAAACTGAGCATCGTGTAGGCCTAGGATGATATTTACTACTTTTTTAAACTGAGCATCTTGTAGGCCTACTCGTTAAAATAAAACTATTTCCGTTGATATAGGTTAATATAGTTGTCTTTTTTTTACTTATTAATTCAAACGTTATTTTTGTACCTTATTAATTTATTTATAATTTATATGAGAGTGATAGGGAGTTACAATTACAAGGTTTTGTTTCGCGAGGCCTAATCATTTTTTTCACATTTTTTTTAAAAATTAATTAAGGAAATTGCGCTTAAATTGTCACTAGACTTTTTATTAACTTGTTTAAACTGAGCATCGTGTAGGCCTACTCGTTAAAATAAAACTATTTCCGTTGATATAGGTTAATATAGTTGTCTTTTTTTAGCGCAAAAAAATATCCTTTCGTTCGGTCACAAAAAATCAAAAATTGTTATGGATAACATAAGGAAATTGCGCTTAAATTGTCACTAGACTTTTTATTAACTTGTTTTTACTTTGATTACTCTTTATTTTAATTGTCTGGGTCTATATAGCAGACGCTTCGGGTCAAAGGTCATGCTTGTTTTATAAAATGTTCTATAACATGTTCTGTAAGTGTGAACGCTAAAGTATACATGTTCTGTGGAGAAAAATTGTTCCAGATAAAAATAACTTTTGGCGGGCTTTGTGTTCTAGAAATGTATAGTATACATGTGGTAAGTGTAAACGCGGTATAATAGTTCATTTCAAGGGACACCACTCTAACAAGTTAAATTTTCAGAAAAACAATGTTTCACGAAACGTTGAATAGTCTGATTCTAGATCTATAGTCTTAGTGACTTAGTCTAATATAATAATATTATTACATTAGTTAGTTATTTAGTAGTAGTAATAGTAGGTAATCTATTATTTTAGGTATGTGAAATAAAGATGAGCAATGTTTTCATCAGATGTCACCAAGCTTGTTTACTTTAGCTTGAGAATTTAGAAGCGTCTTGTTTAAGTTTTTTGGTAAAATTATAGAGATTCAGGGGAAACAACTCTAATTTACAGATAGCCGCTGTTTATATAGCAAATCTTGCTCTCAAGCACTGCAGTTTTAAGTTAATTTCTGGCCTAATAATATAAAAGCCATCAGGTAGTGTGTCAGTCATTCCAGCATCAGTATACCCACTTTGTCATCGTCATCAGGGTGGTATTTCTTGCATTGGGAGGGCTCTACCTTTGGGCACGGATGGTCAGGAAGACATGTTGGTCATCATGCATGGGAAGCCCGCTAACAACATGGGGAGAAGCTAAATCTGGGCAGACGCCTGTGAGAGGGTTTTGTTTTTTTACCCGAGCTCAATTTTCGTGAATAGCTATATCCATACAAATACTACAGAAAACGCATATATATATATATAGGCCTATATATATATATATATATACATATATATATATTATATATATATATGTATATATATATATATATATGTATACGAAGTGTCTACTCGGAATAAGATTTTTCGGCAAAAGATAGTTCTGCGCATGCGCAGTGACCTATGGCTAGGGTTAGGGCTAGAATGAGGGTTAGGGGTAGGATTAGGGATAGGGATAGGATTAGGGTTAGGGATAGGATTAGGGCTAGGGTTAGGGTTAGGGATAGGATTAGGGATAGGGTTAAGGATAGGATTAGGGTTGGTATTAGGGTTCTGCGGTTGTAAACACACGCATGCGCAGTACCATCGAAAACATCGCCGCTAAGTCGTAGTTTCTCTCCATTGCGCATGCGTATCGCATGCGTATCTTATTCCGACTAGAATCGGCCATATGTATATTCATATATAGTATTCTATTACTACTTTGTAGCATAAAAATGAGATCCAATGGACAGTAACCATTTTGACACCCTAGCTGAATCAAGCTTGGATAACGAAACCGAGTCAAGTGTTTCATTCTTTATCAAAGATTCACTGCAGGACAACTTAGATTCTATACCTTGCTGGGATTTAAAATCAGGACTTCCTGCTCTGAATGAGCTTCAGCTTGTAAGAAATGTTTTACATTTTTTTAAAAATTAATATATGGCTTGAGACCTGTGTTAAAATGTTTGGCTTGTTAAGTCTGGTGTACTAAACCTACACCATCACCAATTCAAAGTCAATATCTGAAGTTGTAAACAGTTTAATTAAGCACCTAGTTTCTTTGTATCTCTAGCTTTCTCCTGTTTTAAGAGATAAAAACATCAAACTTTTCAGCTGATCCATTTGAGGTGGTCTAAGGTCTTGCTGAATAATATAAATTTGTGGGTTTTTGCTTTCTGAAGGGTTTTCTGAAGGGTTTCAATTTGTGGATTTTCTTTTTAGTACCAATTGTCAGATACAAACTTGTAAGGATAAACTGACAAGTACAATTAAGTCAGTACTTTTTTACAGCAATTTTATTTATTATAACATTTTTAAAGGATGATGTTGAGGCATCCCGATTTGTAATAGGTTCTGAAGCAAAATCAAATATGGCTGATTGTCCTGGAAAGCAACGTAAGTCTAAATAAATGTGTTGGTTTTATCAAAGCACATAAATTTTATTTTATAAAATGAAAACAGCAACTAGTATGGTTGTAATATAAATTAATGGCAACCTGGTTAAAAAAAAATTAAAATTAATTTGAAAAAACAATTTTATTTACTATTGATGACACAGATATATTGCATATGTTGCAGGGCTTCATCTGCTTGCATCCACAAGTGACAGTGATGAGCATAAAGCACCGTTAGTTTTTGATACTGTCAGGTAATAGCATAACTACCATATATTGTTTACAAAAAAAAATTTAATTAAATTAATGTCAATCTGAGCAAGAAGTTTGTTACCATCTCCTTATTGAACAGATAGTATAGTAATAAAATGTGCATCTTTAACTTATTTTTTTTATATCTTATATAATAGCATTTCAGGGAAAAGAAAAAAAAGCTAGTTTTCAGGAAAAAGCAACAATCTTAGAAATAGCTATTAACAGCACTATTGAAACAAAGAATTGTTATCTTCGTCATTTTACTATTTTCTATAATTTTACCTTCAGTGATGCCAGCCCTGTAACATCAAGTACTGAGAGCGAGAAAAATGTAACCGTTGTTGAGCGAAAACGTATGAGTAATCCACTTTCTTCTGTTTCATATTTAAATATTCTCAGATTAACAAAAAAATGAATGTGTTTTTCAAATTTATTAATGTAAATTTTCCAACTTAACAAACAAGTCCATTTACTCATTATTTTCAATTATGAAAGTATCTCCATTTTTTTTTTAAAGCATAAAAGTTAGCTTTCATTTTTTCATATTTTGGTCTATTCAACAGCAAAATCTAAAGCTGAAGACACACCTAAGAATGACCCAGAAAATGTTAAAAGTTTGTAAGTTTAATTTAAGCTTAATCAACTCTTTAATGTAATGGAAAGACTTAATAACTTTATTGCTTTAATAAGATAACTAATTGTTCAAAGTGTATGTAAAATTATATTTGAAATATTTGTAATTCACTGACTTTTTATATCATGATTCACAAGCTCTCCTATGGTTATACCTGACTCCCCAACTTTTGAAGAGACAGGTAAATGACTACCATTATTTTATGTTAATAGTGTTAATCATGTTGTTATCCATTTTTATATTCATAGACTAACTAGATAACTTATAAGATTATTAAAAACATATTTGTCAAAAATATTTTTTTAAGCAATATTTCTTACAGCAAATAATTTGTGTGCAGTGGTCTTTATTTGAGCTATATTTAATAACTAAATATTTACTTATTTAAATAATTTTTATGAATACTTGTTGTTATGGTTTCCATAATGTATTTGGTTTAAAATATTTTTAAAGAAAAAAGTCAAGAATGTATTGTAGGGTCTTACAATCTCAAAGAGACAGCTGAAAATCCCATTCTGCAGTCTGTGAGTACATGTTTAATTTTACACCTCAAATTTTCTATTTGTTTTTAAAAATAATATATATAACAAAAACCACACAAAAAAAGAATGAAATGAATACTTTTTAAGATAATCAACTAAAATATCAAATTGAACAATTGTTAGTAACAGCTCTATATTAAATGTTATGTTCCTTAACTTTGTTCATTCTCACAATAATGTATGCAATGTAAATTTTAAAATGTATATGAATGTCTTTTTTTCATAAGATTTGGCAAAATATTTTTCCCCAGGAAATGTATACTTCATCTTATACTAACTCAAGTTTAAGAGGCAGGTTTTTTGCTACACTACCTAGTCATAAGTTAAATTTTTAAATATTTTTGTCAAAATATCTTACTGTTGGTAAAATTATAGTAAATGAATTTTCTTTTTCCCAAACAGAGTCTCAGAATCTTCATTTAAAGTTTACCCAATCTGAAGCCGATGAAACAGAACATCCAGGTTAATAAAACATTTTTACGTCTGTTGAAAACCCTATAAAAATACAGTTACAGTGTAAACTATTGCTTCAGAGACAGGAAACTAAACTCAAAATATTGTGTTTTTTGTTTGTGCTGTTTTTAACACTATAGTGGCATTTTGAAGCTAAGTTTACAGTAATTTAAAATCCAAACATTTAATTAGCATATTTTAAAAACAGAATTTCTTAAAAGCGGTTTTCAAAGCTTAGGTTTCAGTTTTTTTCTTTATATGCTACTCATTACCAGAAATATTTTAAAAGTGTATGTCAATTATTTTAAGTTATCAACAATTCTTATTTCTCCAGATCCTGATACAAATTATGATGAAGTGGTAACCAAGTCGAACACAACATTAGTTAAAACTGTGACTTCACCACTGAAACTTGGGTATTTTTAAAAAATTAAAATCAACCACACTCTTTCTGCACACCTTCTATTTCTGTATGCCCTACTTTAAAACCCTCTCATATTAAGTGTACTTGAATGAATGCATATTAAATGCTAACTGTTTATAGTGTAATTTTGTTAATTTAATCTATATTATGAGTCAAATTTTAGGAAAGATATGTGTAGTACATCACTCACAACTTTATGACTTATTTCTTAATTTAACCATAACAATCCTTTTTGATAAGTTCCAGCACAAAATATGCAACAGTTTAAATTAAATAAAAATTATTTGAGACTTACAAATTATAATAACTTATTTAGAAATTAATGTAGTAATTATTTATTTAAATGAGTTAAACCTTCATTTGTATTTGCTGTTTTTTGTACAGTGCTTACAGTGTGCTTCCAGCAACAGTTACATCTAGTCAGAAGCCATCTTTTCAATTACAAAGTATGCTATTATTTTAAAACAAATCTGTTATTAACATTTATAACATTCTTAGTATAACAAAAATGTGTATTAAATTTAGTTGAATAATAATGTCCAATTTATTTAACAATGTCAATTGATAATCATTTTCTTATAGAGCCTCAGTTTCCTCTTGATGATTTTGAGATGATCGAGGAAAGTGAAGGAAGTCCTAGTGTCTTTAAAAGAGTGCAATCTGGACACACCACACCTCAAAAATCTTGGAAAATTAGAGATGATAGGTATCTTAAGTATATATCTACTTTTTCTTAATAAGGAAACCTATTAATTTAAAGAAATTAAATAGTTTGATACTAACTAGCCTTTTTGACTGAGCCAATTTAGTTAGCTACTATCACTTTTCTTGTTTATACCAGATTACTTAAAATGATAACATTGGAAGGCTTGCAAATATTTTGAAATATATATAAAAAAAATTTAAATTAGAAAATAATGAGTTTGCATTTGCTTTTAAAAATCCTTTCATGGATTTTTCTATTTTTATTTGAATTGAGAATTTATTTTAAATCTTAAAATTTAACTTGTTATATAAGCTTGATAAGCAAAAGTTAACAAAAATAAAGTATTTAGAAAAATATAATTTATGATATGTATTCTTTAATAAATATACATCATTTGTCAATAATGTCAATAAAAAAAATATTTCCATGATAATAATAGCTGTTTGTAATTATTTTCATTTCAGTGATGAATTTATGCCTTTAACTTCAGTAAAAAGAAAGATTGCTTCTGGAGGATCATCAAAAAAATCAACCAAAGAGGTGAAACAATCACCATTTAGTGATGATTTTGATTTCAATAACCCCACTACTTCAAAAAAGTCACCTGGGAGGAAAGCATGCCTTTTATTTGAAAAGGTTTCTACCCCAGCCAAATCTAAAGAATGTCGTATAGAAAGAACTGAAGCAAAGCTACAGCTACCTAGCAAAAATGTAACATTTGTAGATTCTAGAGTGAAGCACCACCACTCCAAAACTGGGATATCTAAAAAAGCTAATCCAGCTTTATTGGACTCAACCACTGATGTCATTGTTGTAGAAGATTTGGAATCCAGTTTATCATCTGTTGAGTCAACTCAGTCCTATGACTTTTTAGGTCAAACTACAAAGAGTGATCTCCTTTGTAAAGTTGCAGATGATGTTTCTAGTACAGAAATAAATGTAGAGAAACAGGGAGTAAGCAGTTCTGATGACTTTATTAATCCATCTCAAAAACGGATGACAACTCATGTGATGTCAAACTTAGAGGAAGACTTTTTTCCTATTGAGCTGTCCAGCTCTTTGGAAGGGGAAAAAAATCAAAAGAAGCCTCAATCTACAGAGAAGTCTTTTTTTGCAAAACGGTTAAGAAATTATCAGACAAATAAAGAAAAAAGTGATTCTCAGCATGAATCATTAGCAATAACTAATACTGCATTTAGTGAACAAGCAAATACATCTAAAAAGTGTTTACCAGATTGTGAAGAAGGAAATGATGCACATGATAAATCAATTAGTCCAGTACATAATAATGAGAGTCTAATCACAAAAGAATTACTACCTCAGCCTAACCAAAACAGCAATGTAACTTCAAGGTGAGCATTGTTTTGTCAATCAAAGATTGCTTTGTTAAATATTTTCATAAAATTAAATTGATATATTTTACATTAAATGGTTTTGTTAGGACTAGGTTTAACTTCCAAAGCAAAACTTATGTAATTTAAAAATAGTCATTTTTTTTCTAAAATCCGTTATGCAATATTTTTCACAAAATTAGAGTAACGGCTACAACAAATTAATTTCAAAATTAAATTCACCTTTACACGCTTTGTATAACAATTTCTGTTCAGTACTGACTATTTTAAAATTTCAGCACCTCTGTTTAAATAGTACAGGTGCAATAAAGTCGATCTGTATACAGCAATTATACCTAAGTTCTTTATTCTACAGTACAAAGAAGAGTGTCGCTGACCCTTATGCTTTTGAAAACACACCTTCTTTAAACAATGAAGGAGCTGTTTTGAGATCTAGTGTTGGTAAATCTATCAGTTCCAAATCTCCCAAAAGACGCTCAATAAAACTTGTGAGAAGAGTGTTCAAGAAAAGGATTCCTTTAAAAAAGGTAATAACAAGAATTTTTTTCTGAACATAAGAACATAAGTTTACATATTTCTGTCGCCATGGTTTATGTAGGGATAGTGTATATAGTCATTTCTGTACCCAAACAGCTTCACTTACCCTGACTTAACATCAGGTACCCTGACAAACTAGGTTCTTTTTCAGTTTTATTGTGTTCACTTGTTTACAGTAATAAAATTCTTGCTATAAACTAACATGAATGTAGTTTAATTAAACTAAAAAGTCAAGATGGAAATAAAATTAAATGTAATGCAAAAAATATTTTTCAGTTTCTTTTAAATTGTACAAAGATAAAAAGAATGATTTAAAAATGAATTAAGTAAACATGGTTTTAAAATATTTCAGCAAGAGAGCAAGTCTTCATCAACAGATGATAGTGCTGTGATAGGAAGAAAAACTCGTCAAAAGCTTCATCATCAAGCACCTGAGAAATCTAACAAAAGAGTTAAAAAACAAACTTCTCAGTGCACAAAAGAAAAGAAACAATCAACAGAAATAGCTGAGCCTTTGTTGGTGGCCAGCAGTGAAGCTGGACCTTCAGGCTACACACTTCTTCATAATAAGTCTGAATTTAACATTCCATCAAATCCACCTCAGCTCAAAACAGGTGCAAGCTCAAGTAAAGGTAACTTATCTAGTTTTAACTTTGCTCTAATTTTGGAAATATATTAAAACTTTATTACTTGTTTTCATTTTATTTGTGTGCATTACAAATAATAAGATTGTTTTGTTTATTTGTACAAGACAGTTAAATTCATTGAAACTCATTATAAATCGATAAGACTTTTCAAGAAAAAAGATTAAAAAATGTTGTTGAATGCTGTCTTTTGATTTTTAATTTAGATTTGAATGATCAACAAACTGAAACTCAACACCTTAGACAAGCTGCTACTGAAGACTTGGTAAACAAAGTATGCAATCCATGGGTAATTCTGTCTCTTAAAACTAAGTTCTCTGCATAAACTTATTACAAGTCCAAACAAAGTTTAACCAACAAACTTTAAAAATAATTCTAAATATTATTATCACAATTGAAAGCTCATAATCTGGATGTTTATTTTATTTTAGATTTTATATCCTTTGATGTTAAATTAATTTTTGTAAACTGATTTTCCGCTGAAGAATAATTATTTAGAATTATTATTAAATCTACAATAAAACAATATTGTTTAACATAATTAGACTAAATTAAGTTGTATTACATTTTTCCAAAAGTAACTAGTTAAATAATGTGAGAGCTCATTAAAGTTATTGAGGTTTTTTTTACAGCAAGCTGTACTTAATAAAGAGACCTCTGAGAGTAATTTTTATGAAATAGTAACAGTCAAGAAAACTGTCTGCCTGAAAGCCATTTACAAGGAAAAAACTATTGTAGAAGTTTTTACTCCAGATGGAAAACTTCATAGTCGGTTAGAAAAACCAGTAGGAACATTTTAAATTTATTTATTTTCTTTTTGTAGAAAAATGTGTTCACTGACCATTTAAGTAGTATTTAAATACTTGGGTTTTTTTTTTAGTTAATATGAAACAAATGCATCTTAACTTTTTCAATACACAGTGTCATAATCACTGTGTTAATTGTTGTTGTTGGCATTTTTGTAGGAAATCATCACAAGAGAAAAAGACCTTGAGCCACTAGACCAAGAAGAAATAAGTTCAAAGCACATAATTCCATGCCCAATGTCACCATCAAGATCTACTAGCACTGTGACCACAGGTGACCTTGCTGATGTCAGCTCATCCTCATTAGGTCGGACCAGTAGCACAGGTTTGTGAAGTTAAAAGAAACAACAAATCTATGCTAGTTTATTAGCCAGCATGGTTAAGTGATTGCACTTGCAACAACTAACACCACAAGTTTTGGGTCTGTCAAAGGTTCCTAAATCCACCCAGCTTTCAGTCATGGAAAGTTAAAGGTGACTGGGCATAGCGTTGCTCACAAAGAAATAGGAGATGAAATTATATACAACTTTTAGAACATCCTAAACATTAATGTATTGGTTATAAAGTTTCATTTTTAAAAACATTTTGTGCAGGGTCAAAAATAAGCAATCCTAGTTTGGACATTATCCCTTGTGGTCAGAGCCTGCTGTCAGTATCCCACTTACAAAACTCTTTAGAAGTCCCAGGTGAGACCTTACATTTTTTTTCTATCCACTCATTTGAAGTTATTTTATTTGTAAATACATTTTTATACGTTTTGTAATAATTCAAACTTGTGATTCAAAATTTTGTATGCATATTTTAAAAATTTATTGGAGTTTTAATATTAAAAGTTAATTTACTGGTACAAAACAGATCACAATAAAATGGTTGTCGACCAAGCCATGAGGGAACTACCACTGATCCAGAATGCATCCAAGGATCAACAAAAGCGACACAGTGCTGGTTCAAGTTCTGGCCAGGACCTGTTCAGCACACCCAACCAGTCAATAATTGACCGTGCCGATAGCCAACTTGGCAAGATTGTCTCCAGTTCACACAGTACTCCTTGCAGTCACCTGCTAGAAAGTCCTAATATTGAAGGACACTGTGTTAGCAAGGATATTATTAAACCACCTGTAACCACCACTTCTCAGTTACAAAAAGATAAAAGCCTAAATGATTTTCACAAGACCCCACCGCCACAATCTTCTTCTGGAATAAGTAAACCAGTGGAGTCCGTTAAGCAGACAAATAATGAAAATCCTCTCTGTACCACCCCTCCAATTCAGAGCAGCAGGCATTTTTTAGCTAGGAAAAAAGATTCCTCAAAAAAGATTCCAGAAAAGAATAGTGCAGTAATTGACAAGCCACAAGGAGCAGAGAACTCTGCTAAGACTCTGGAAGAAAGATTAGAATCAGCAGATACTCAGAGCACTGGGTTCAGTGTTCACTGTATGCCAGCATCTGCAGCTAGTGGTGATTCCAACAAGGGTGCTACAGCAGTTGGTGAGTACAAAAACTGTTCAAATTATAATTACAAAATTTATGTAAGTTTAAAGGACAGAGGTTTTCAAATAACTAATAACAGAAAAGTTCTCTCATTTTCAACACTGTAGTTTTTGTATTTCAATTAATATGCTTTGTGCTGATTTTATTTTTCTTAATTATTAGATACATCACTGAAGTCAAGCAATGGTGTCAGGTAAGTTCAAACACTGTGAGTTGTGTTGGGATGTAAAAAAACAACTACTTAACATACTTAATACAGATTTGAAAAAAAAAACAGTCATTAAAGTTATTGAATAAGGGTAGTACCGTACAGCCAATAATTCCTGTTTTAATCCCCAACCACAAAAATATCATCATATTTGATGCATTAATACTCTCATCACAATATAGATTTTTTTTTTATGTTTTAGTCCTGAAATATCGCTGCAAGGTGCAAAAATAGTAGAGTCACAGAGATTAGATTTAACAGAATATAAAAGTAAAGTGGAAATAGGTGAGAGTTTCTAATAACTGTTGTAGGGCTGTGATGATTTTTATGCAATGTATTTTGTTATTCAGATATGTTGGCACTACTTTACAGATGTGTTTCTAATCATTATATGCTATATTCAATGACTGTAGGTGCCAAGGTTATGGGAAAGTGGAAAGATGGATTTTATTATCCAGGAATTTTACATAAAGTTGACAGATGCAAACAAAAGTAAGAAAAAAACTAACTGCACTGGATCAATCATTAATATATTCAATGATTTATATATTACTTCAACCTAATTCTCCCATGAATACTAAATTTATTTAAATAAGTGATATATTAGATTCCCAAAAATGCCTGTCTTATAGAACATGGTTTGACAGAACAAATCCGTATCATTCAGTTTTTACATGTCAGTGTACAAAGAATATTCATTGGTTCTGTAATATTTTAATCAAACTCTTTCAATGAAAATAGTTGAATATTTGTGTTCTTTCTTTAAATTCTTACTTAAGGTTTGTGGTAAAGTTTGATGATGGCTCACAGAGTGTTGCCAAGCCACAGGACATAATTTTGGCCAGTGATCTTCCAGTTGGGCAGAGTGTAATGGTTATGACAGATGAAGGCTTCTATGAACCTGGTATGGTAATGGGACACAGTGAGGCGGAGGCTCCACAAACTTTATTCTATCATGTAGCAAGAGACGATGGTGTCACACAAAAGTAAGATTTTTTCATTCTTCAAAAATAGGTTTGATATCTTGTAATTTATTAAGGTACCTTTGCTTTGTATTCTTATTTGGTAAAACTTGTAAGCTCATAGACAAAATCTTCTTTTGATTGTTAATCAAATGGAATACTACTTTTTGTTTTTTCACTGTCTTTATTTAAACATTGGTTTCTTTAAAAAAGGAATAATTGAACAAGCACAAAATACTGAAGATGGTGTTACATTCTAGTATTTTATCCAGTTCATTAGCTATGATTTTTAAAGTTTAGTAATATTATTGATGATTTTTGTACTTTTTCATTTATTGCTTGATCTTATTATTACTTTGCATTTTTTTAATGTTGAAATACTAAATATTGAAAGTCCTAAACAATTTTAATTTGCCCTTTATCTTTCTAAATGTTTTATCTGTTTACAGATGCAGCCGGGCCAAGCTCATTTTAAGTGAGGACCAAGCTGCCTGCTTGCTTAGTGATGATGAGCTTAGAGTTTCACTTGATACTGTTATTCCATTTACCAGCAAACCAGGAGAAGTTTCCTTAGGTATTTGTCTTCAAAACTTTACTTTCATGTATACTACAAAAGCCATTCAATTGTTGTTGTTTTTTTTTAAAGAGCAACTTAGTCTTGCATATGTTTACTAAAAGAAAATTTCATAATAGCAGATTAAGTTGTAGCTTTATAATAACAAACCAATTTTCAACAGTAATAATAAGTTACAAGAAGTGGATAATTTTTTTCCTACTGGCAAGTTTTAAAAGTATTTATTTGCATGACCAGATAATTTAGTTGAAGGCAAGAGACAACATAGATCTACCAGGATGACACCTGCTAAAGAAGCCTCTACATCTGGTTTACAGCCGTCTGCTGAGAAGCCGAGTGCTGTCGTGACTCCAAATGTTGAAATGACTCGTAGCGGGAGAAAAAGAAAAATGGGCCCTCAAGCAACAAGCACACCTGCATGTAAAAAAAACTGTAAGCAGAACTCAGATAGTAAATACATAGGAATTACCTGTCTGTTTTTGTTTTAAGAAATGTGTATTCTGTTTTTAACATTTGAACATATATACAATAAAGTATTCTGTTTGTGTGGACATATTTTCATAAACATTATAAAGGGATATTTACTCTTCAATTTCAAACTACTTTTCATCTTTTTTTTTTACAGGCACTACAGTAAAGAAATCAAACAAGTCGTTAAATAAATCACTGCCAGAGAAACCAAAAACCCCACGAAAAACTCAAACAGGTAAGCAATTAAAATTTGGCAGTTTAAATAACAAATATATTCTAATTCCAAAAGTTGTTTGTTGAAAACTGGAGCATTGTATTATCATTTTAACAGATCTTATTATTAAAAAGTATTACAGAAACTTTGGATTTCAGTTAGTGCATTTGTTTGTGTGTTGCTAAACATCATTTTTGATTGACGCTTTGGTAGTAATGATGTCAACAGAAATCGGCCTTATTCTGTCTTATTTATTTACTATATTTCGTGGACATTTTAGCAATATATTTATGGATTAGTAATTTCTGCCATCTCTGCACAGATACTGATGTGGTTTTAACCATTGCAAGATAGTGTGTATTTGGATAATTAAATTGTTCTTATGCTGATTATATTGAGCAGGCAATAATGTAACAATGAAATGTTAAATAATATGTAAAATCATATTAATTTTCCACCAAATCATTAATACATTTGTCAAAAATTGAATGGTTTCTTCTTATTAAACTAAGATCATTATATTAAATCAATTGCACAGTGACTAATCACATGTAGTTAGATGAGGTGAAATATAGCAGGTGACATGACTTTTGAGTTTTGGTTCTAATCAGTGTCAAAAACATGAAAAAGAAGCAAGCCTAATGTTTTAAAAGAATAAAGATTTAACATTGTAGACATAATAACAAAGACATTTTTTTTATTTCTGGGCTATGAATTTACAATGATAATTGAACTTGGTATTAAATACTAGGTAAACAAAGTAGTTTTTATCATTTGTCTTTTTAAACAATATCAAATTAAAAAATTATGTGAGACACCCTCACTTTGTAGAGGAATATTTATCAAAGGTTTTGGCTTATATCCATAGAATGTGGAATGTCCCAACATCCACACAAAGTGGATATTTCACATTAGTTTTGGTGTCTGACACTTGAGATGCCAAACAGAATTTAAAATAAGCTTGGGATATTATAATATATTCTTATGCATATTTTTTTTTCTTTACAAGACCTCTTTGGCAAGAGCAATCCTACCCAAAGCAAGCTGTTCAGTGGAATGAGTTTTGTACTTACACACAAAGAAAAGTCAGCCCAACATAAGGAAGAAGAAAAGCGGTTGTTGAATGACTCATCTTTAGAAATCTCAGCTGAAGAAAGTACTGACATTGGTAAATTACATTGAAATTGACCATTTTATTTTGAAATATACCATAATACATGCTGTTTAATTCCTTATTATTTGTTACAGATAATGGGTTTATTTTATTTTTTGTTTGAATTTTTTTTTGTTTCAGAAACTCAGATTCCTGAATTTGAAAAAGAAAATATTAAGGCAATTATAGAGAAAGGAGGAGGAACTGTGCTTGAAACATTTGATGAAAACACTGTTAGTAGCATATTTTTAAATGTATTGCATTTTAAAACCTATAAAATGTGTTCCCAGATAAGTTGAAATAAAATAAGAATGTTAAAGAATGTGTGTGGAACTAAAGTTTGCTGAAAATCAGAATTTAAAATTTTCAATTTTGTTTTAGCCCAAAGAAAACTTGTATTTAGTGGCAGCTGAACATCAAAGAACGGTAAAATACTTAAAAGCTTTGGCAGCAGGAATCACCGTAGTCTCACACCAGTGGGTCTTGTTTTCCTTTGATCAGGTTGGTTCTAGTTAATTACTCTTTGTATTAAATTAAAGTAACACAAATAAAGAATGTGTTAGTACCCTAGTAAGTAAGTAAAGTTCCCTTTTCAAACCTGACGGTCTATAGGGCAAGTGAAGTAGAGTTCACTTGTTTCTGTGACCTCTGCATATGAAGAGATAGTGTGCTCAGCACTATGCCCAGCCGCCTTTAGTACCCTATATTAAAATGAATTTCTTTTATAATTTAGAGCAGACTACAAGCCCTGAAAGCTTACATTCTCCCAGCTGGTATCAGTCTTGAAAAGAAAAAGTTAATGGAAAGGTAAGAGACGTTTTTGCACCAGCAATAATAACACATTATAAAGGATTATTTCCCTTTCAACCTACTCTAACACTGTAGTCTGTCCCAGGTATGATTTAACAGGTCTCAATGCAGTGGTTGCAGACAATATGCAAACTTTTAACTGTCCTGAAATGGCTGCTGTTTTTTAATTAAACATTCAAATTAATTCTCAAATGGTGTATTTTTATGTAAAATGTCAAATATACTGTGTTTATCTAATTAGGAAAAAATATTCTTTCTTTTATCTATAATGCAATTTTTGCCTAAAATTATTTTTTTTTTGGAAATAAATATTGTGTTTAAACTTTATGTTGGTAAAATCCTGTTAAAAACTTTACAGCAATTGTAAACTTTTATTTTCAATAACACAGACACAAAGGTTGCTGCCCATTAGAAAACCTTACTGTAATGGTTGTGTCAGAAAACCAAGACTTTACTGAAGCTTGGAGCTCTATACTCACTATGGCAAAGAGCAAATTGGTTACCAAATTTCCCTCTGATGTTAAATGTAAGTAAATCTACACATAGTCAAAAAATTGTTATAAAAAATATCATCTACCTCTTCTGTGTTTATTTTAATAAACTCATAATTTTGATTTTAGAATTTTACCTGATGCAATGCATGTTTTTGCACAAAACTGTGTACACTATAATTGAGGGTTCAATTTTAAGTAAGAACAATTATTTTGTTACAGATAACTCAAGCATTGATGTAGTTGTTTCTGATGCAACTTGTCCCACAAATGTGGTTAAAAAGTGTCAGAATCTTAATGTGCCTCTAGTTTCATCAGAATGGGTGGCGCAGTCTATTATTAATGGCCATCTTGTAGACTATTTAGGGCATGAAAAATACAAATATAATTTAATTTAATACAATTGGAATAACCATTTTGAAAACATGTTGAATGCTATCTATATGATAGATTAACTCCATTTCCTGTTTTTAGTTTATGTTGGATTTTTTCTACATAATTAAAGCTTACTCTAAATTTTATTTCTGAGGTTGTTTTAAAATTGTTTTAAATTATTCTAATGATATTTTGTAAATCTTACTTACTTCACTGTTTGTTTTTAAGCAAGTCCTGTTCAAAATAATGTTAATTGATGTGGCTAATCACTCAATGAAATTTTCATTAAATTGTGTAGTGTCTCTGTTTTTTAAAAAAAGTTATTAAACTGTGTTAATCTTACTCTAAATTTTATTTCTGAGGTTGTTTTAAAATTGTTTTAAATTATTCTAATGATATTTTGTAAATCTTACTTACTTCACTGTTTGTTTTTAAGCAAGTCCTGTTCAAAATAATGTTAATTGATGTGGCTAATCACTCAATGAAATTTTCATTAAATTGTGTAGTGTCTCTGTTTTTTAAAAAAAGTTATTAAACTGTGTTAATCTAGGGCTTTCAAGCAATTTTGTAAAAACACTTGTGATCTCAAAGATTATTTGTAATTATGTATTACATGTTGTAACTACATATATATAAACAAAGGTATTGATGAAGCTAAAAGGTCTTTTTGAAGGGTGCAGACTTTTAGCCTGAACATTCTGTTTTATTCCACTGTTTTTGTATATTAGAACTATATCTTTTCATTTTGTTCAATCCACTTTTACCATGTGTACTTTAAGACAACAGTTTTGTCTGTGCCTTGTACAAAACAAAATTTCACTTCAGCTTATGAGTGTTAAGAATACATAATTCAAATGATTAAATTTGTAGATATTTTGTTGTACAGCATATTTTTTCTTAAATTAATGTTACTTGATTATGGATTATGAGTGTTTTAAGATAAGTGTTATATAAGATTTTCTCACCCTGGTCAAAACAAGTTAACATTTTAACAGCGTCATCAGATACACTATTTTAATGTTTTATAGTAATTTATTTTAGAAAACATTCCTTTATCATTACTAACATGAAGGCAGCTTCTTTAAAGTGAGTCAGTAGTGGCTAGCAAGTTTACTTCTAGGCCATTAGTTTTGCTCACATATAACTTAGTATCAGTAAGCATTGAAGAATATCAAGGCTTTGCTCTCACATAAGTCTTTAATATGTCAAGGCAGTAGGGATAGTGTTTAGTTCTTTTGTCAGTGTACCACATTACATATTTCATTTTTTACTTATAAAAAATTCATTTTTAATTTGTTTTTAATTTATTTTAGAATTGTTAATCTGTGTTTACCGGCTGATACACATTTACTTAATCACCTACAAAAGTTTACACTAAGAAAAAGGAATGTTGAAATATGTTAGTTTGTCAAAGGCTGTCTCTAAAACTGTCGTTTTGTCTTACAGATTTCTAGGGTTATAGTTGAAATGATGATATTTAATATCTTTTTATCTTGCATTCTAAAAATAATTTTAACCATATAATTTTTATACTTATTTTAGTTTTCAGGAAAGATTGAATGTATTTAGTATTGCAATATATTTTATAGCAGGAATTTTTTAAAACATTTAATATTTCAAATGATTTTACAATTACCATTTTAAATATAGTTGTCCTGAAAGCTTATATTGTTCATGAAGGTCTACCTCTTTGCAAAGTTATTTTCTAGAAGTAATATATATAAATAATACAATAAATGTCATGAAAACCAAAGCAACTTGTTGCAATTATACACAAAAAGACACATTTTTACAGCACAAAATTTGTTTTACATGAATATCTAATTTTTTAACATTATTATTTTATTTGTGCTCTTTTTTTTTAATAACATTGTTATTATATTTAAGTAAGCCTTGTCTTTTGTGATAGAGCAAATGCCTTTTTTCATTCAATAAACCTCTTTTTTTTTCAAATGATTACTTTAAAAACATGTACTTGAAAGTGTTAGTGATGAAGCAAATGCCTTGCTTTAATGTTCAAATCAATAAAACTTTTTATTAAAAAAATTATGAGTTCAAAAATCTGTCCTAGAAAGTGTTTAATTGAATGGGCTGTATATATATTTCTATAATCTCTGCATCATTGATTCACAGTTATTTACATAGCTTAATGCTCTTTTTTTAAAAACAAAAATCATCAGAAATAAAAGCTATAAATCTCTACTAGAGTTTAACAGAAAACTACTTTATAATACCATTTTGTATGATACTATATTATAATATTTAAAAATATCTCTATTTTAATATAAAACTAAATGTTAGCAAATTTACTCTTTAACATAACTCATTTTAAAAATACATTAACTTGGCCCTTGCTAGTTTAAATTACTAAATCCCCGGCCTATCAGTACCTTGAACTAGCCTAAGCTTATAACTTAAACTACCTGGGTAGTTTAAATATAATAAGTAGTTCTAGCTAGTCTGTATCATTATCATTTCATTTATATATTAAAAAAAACAATGAATGCTCCCAAAGGTCAAAAAGATTGAAATGTGGGTGTTAACTGATAGGTGAAAGATCAAAGGTTTATCAAAGTTATATCACTTCAAATTTTTCCCTCTTCAGTCATTCTAAATATTAATTTAGAAACTTATCCAAAAAAAAGCTTCATTGTGAACAAATAGCAGACATTCTACAATGAAGTACAAGGTTCCTTTGTGTATATTTCTGTTATCTCAAACATCATGGGTTATATCGTACTTACTAAGTAGATGGAATCTTATGCAAAGTCAAGTTTCAGTTTTTATAGCTGGAGTTGTAACTCTTGCATTGGTTACTGCAGTGCCTTATGTCTTATTTCTTAAGCTTTTTAAAAGAGTCGATCCGATAGTGCTGGGTGAGTTATTGTTGTTGTTTTTTTTAATAATTAAAAAAAGGGTATATTTAGAGTTTTAGACTATAATGACTTATTGTCGTTTAACTCTAGCTAAAGGCCGTAAAGAGCACTAATTTCTGGGTAAGGGGGGGGGGGGTGATTACGATGCTCCTTGTATTGTTTCTTTTTTCTGCAAATTGAATTTTAGCAGTTTGGCCTATTTTGTATTTTTAGAAATTTGTAACTAAAATCGTGATAAAATTTGATTAATATAGGCCTATCTCACTAACATATATATATATGTATATGTATATATATATGTATATATATATATATATATATATATATATATATATATATATATATATATATATATATATATATATATATATATATATTGTAGAAACTATGTTTTACAAAAAGGAAAAAATGGGATGCTTGGGGGGGGGGGGGGGGGGGGGTTGACGTTTTGGAGTTGATTGATCTTTATGGACCACCCCCTCCTCCTTATAGTAAAAAATATTACCTGTGCAAAAAGTGTGCCTTTGAAGTTTATTGATCTAGATTATAAATAACAATACATTTCTAGGATTAGTAAACATAATTATTACTTTTGTAACAATAATAGAGTAACTCATTAGTAATAGAAATAAAAAGCTGTGCATAAATAAAAGTCATTCCATTATTATCATATAGTTATATATATATAGTATACTAGTAGGCCTATATATATAGTATAGTACATAGTCTAAGACTCTAGTCTAGACCAGATTCTGTTTTAAATGATATATTAAATTTAAGAAGTGAAAAACTGATGGTTGATCCAGTTAAAGTAATAAAAATTGTAGGTCTAAGCAGAGAGGAGTGACACCAAAGCCAAAATAAATTACATTGTGGTAGGGAGGGAGTGACACCATGAGTTACCACCTTGGGTGACACTCAACTTATATAACTCCACGGGGCTCAATGGCAATTTCAGACAGTGTTCATTGTCTTATACTTTATGATCAATTGTTTTGATTCAATTTATTTCAGTACTCACGGTATTCTGTTGGTCATGCATGATTGATCTCAGCATAGGATTAGAAATTGATGGCTTTATATCTAATTTTATGGGCTTTTATTTTGCTGAGGGAGAGCCCTATCTCCAAACAGCACATGGTGCAGTGATTTGCTACTGGGATGGCATAGTTCATTTTGTTCTTGGAATGGTGATCATAACACAGTACACTCAAAGGTGGTAATTTATTTTCATTTGATAAATTTGAATGTTTATTAACATTGAAAACAAAGAGTAATAAAATTAGCCCTTATTGTCACACACTCCTTTTAGTGGATAAGTCATAATAACAATACCTCAAGATTAGATAAGTATTCTTTTGATAGAGCTTGATTTGAATTAAATTATGTGGTTAAACTTTTTATATACTTAACGTAGTCTACTTGTTTTAATATATAGGTCTAGCTAATCACCAACTATAGCTATAGATAAATGTTATTAAACTATGCCGCATGCCATTGCAACATGTATTTTTTGGGGACAAATTAAATAAGGTTAACCTGTTTCTCTGACTAAAACTGCCTAGTTTGATTGGTATCAAAAGCTCATCCAAGCTGTTGGAATTAGGAACTCCATCTAGAGTAGAATTAATTATTTCAAATAAGGTTTAAACTCTAAGCCTTCAGTGTAGCAAAATTAAACTTTGGTTTTACTGTTTCAGGCAGAGCTATCGCGCTGTAGGGTTGTACTGGGTTGGGTCAATATTAAATAGCATGATTGTTCTTTTACCTGGAGGTATTGCAGGTAACTATCGTTAAGGTAAAAAGTACTGCATTTCCACTGCAAAATTGTAATTAAATTTTGTTTTTCAATTTATTTTTAACTTGTTTTTCTTGTTTGTGTGATTCCATTATTACTTGCAAAACAATATACATGGTGTACCTGGTCATGAGAAAAAGTAATCAATATGAACTATATTTTTTTATTTAATATAGGTTATTGTGCCTTTTTTTTTAAACAGGGAATCATCCGTTCAAGCTGTCCATATTGTTAAATATACCATACCTAATATTACCCCTATTAGCGGGTTTTAAATTTTTACGTGAAAGACCTGTAGGCCTGCAAGAAACCAAAGTTAAAAAGGTAAGAGTTGTCCTTTACTGAATTAGTTAAAATATAAGCTGCTATAACTTTGAATAGAATTTTTTTATAAAACACATATATTGCTATCGGTTTCATTATGGGTTATAATCTAAAAATTGTAAGTAATAGTTAAACTGAAACTGGTTAAATACAAAAGCATCTTTAAAATTTGTCTTTTAAAAATCATAGATGACAATTTTTTATTTTAATACAAAAAAAAAAACAATGTTTTAGTAATTCTAACCAAAGCAATGCTTTAAAAGATTTACTTTAACTGTACAATTTTTTATAACAAGCATTTGTAAATATTATTTTTAAGTGACTTTTTTTTCAGTTCCATACAATTTTAAACCGTCCTGTTGACTTCTTATTCTTCATTTATTTCATTGGTGCAATTTTACTGTCAATATTCAGAGGATTGGTAAGTTGAGCAAAGAAAGTTTAAAAAGCAGTATTGATTTTAACTAGCAGTTTTTTATTCCTTTGTAGTGTGTAGCCAAATGTCAAAGTTAGAAATTTTGTTTTCACAAAAATATTCTTTTATCATATTCATCGCATGTTGTTGCAATATAGTTCAAATGGACACAACTTTTTACCATGGTTCATTAATGATTAATGCATTACCAATCAGTCCAAATAACTTTAAATAACCCTGTCATAGTTATTATTGTATTTCAGGCTGTTCTTAATGGAAATGCATTATCAATGAAAGAATATATAAAGTCATATGAGCCTTACTTGGTTGATTTATCAAATTTTCCAAAATTCCAGGTACATTGATGGCATAGATTAGTAATGTACATATTTGTTTTAGATTAACCATACCTTTTATTCCATTTCTGTTTTATGTTATGTATTTATTTTCTTTAAATTGTATCCCCAGATGCTTGTTTATGGATATTTCTTCTTAGTATACTACTTGGCTGCAGCTTACGCATTACTGTTCCCTGGCCAACAGTGGATGGCGGATTGGTCTCTTATTCACGCTGGAGCATCAGCACAAGTATGATCTTTATTTTTAAGTATTTCAAAAATTGTAATCCTGCCCATAGCTCAGTTGACCATTAATCTATACTCTTTAAAATTAAAAAGCAATATATTTCTAAATTAACACATTAAAAGCCATTTAGATATTAGAAAAATGAAAGGTGAAAGATACTAAGTGGTAAATGTGGCAAATATGCTCTAGCGAGTCATACCGCACATAAATAGTTATAGCCGCAGCTACAGAATGACCTGTTTAGTCTAGGGTTTGTCTCGTTGGACAAGAGGTCCCTTAATAGTAATATTGCGTTTATTAATGTTGTGTTATTATTATTGACTGATTGCCGATATTTGGCTCAGTGAAAAGGGTTAAAATTATGATTGAGTAATTAACTCAGTTTCACAATCCTTTAACTTTTATTAATACATTAATTATTGGCATAGTAATAACGATACAATTTATAGTAGCCTGGAAGGGGCGACTGGTCTTCAGGGCGGCGTGGTCACACTTCCTCACACACAGACCTCTGTACTAAGTTTTAGCCCCAAGCTGGCCGGCTGTAAAATACATGTGACAACTTCCTAACATATGTGTGATATACACATTCATTCAGACACATACAAGTTTAAAATTGTTACCAAGATAATACATTTACATTAGCCTTACATAAGGCCTACAATAAACATTACTAGGAAATATGCTTTCATTCATACATTGTTTTATATTCATTCCATACTTATTAATTAGTATTATAACATTACAGCTAATAAAAGTAAGAGTTAATTACCTTCCAAAGAAGCCACACAGTCCTCTACACACGTTGCCAAACGTACGTTTAATTTCTCCGAGGAGAACAAGTGCCGTAGCACCAAAATAATTATAATGTAATAATGGCTAGTGCCTAAGCACCAAAAAAACGTATACCTCCGAATAGGGGAGAAGGTAGAGTGACCGGACTGTAGCGTCCCTACCCTACAGGTCACATGACTCAGGCTCCGCCCTCATGACCGCAGTCTGAGGTCGAGGCCCGGTCAGCCTTACAATACCGCTGGACTCGGGTCCAGGTGTGTACCGTTACCTGTGGGGTAGCAAGAAGGGGGGAGAGGTGGAGACACCATGATAGATATTTATAATCTATCATAACAGTAAAAACAGATTGTAAATATTAGTTAACTCTTCATTTTCTATACTAAAAATCACATCAGAATTTAATGTTTTTTTTCCATTCTCATTTTAGGCTCAGTTTTCTCATATAGCAGGGTCATTACACCACAGGACACCTATGCCATTGCATCCACCAACTACTGGAATACCATGTCTGATCTTTTGGCTTGTCAACATAATTTTGTTGGTCATACCCCAACTCTTTGCCTGGAGATGTTACTGCAATCCTGAGAGCTTTGGTCCAATTAGCAATGTAGGGCAATCAAAACACAAACATAAAATACCATCAAGAAAAGCCAATTAAGTCAACATTTTAAATTTAAAATTTATTTCAATAAGTTCATAAAATCCTCATCAATTTTACAATCTTGGTTTGTAATAACATAATGATAAAATATGTGTTACATTTTTAAAATGACCATCTCGCATCTTTTGGTTCTTCTATCCAAAATCCCTGATATTAGTGTCATAGGCTATATTATTTAAGGATAAAAGTGTTATGAATGTCATTCAATATAATATAAAAGTTGGGCAACTGTGTTAATGTGAGAATTATTTTTATTATTCTATGGATTTTTAACAGAATTTCCCTGGCATTTTGCAATCATGTTTTTAAAAAATACTTCCACCTTGTAGAATCTGGACATTTTTTGTTTTAGTCCTATAACAATAAATAGTTGTTGTTTTTTTTAAATTGACTTTGATTAATAAATGTTCTCATTAATTAAATTAAAAGCTGTTTGTTTTTGTTTGCCTGAACCTTTTTTTTGTGCAATCCAATTCTTAAACTAGTTGACAGAGATTTAGACTGGCTTAGTGAAGAGCATCACTTTAAAAAGATCTCATTATGTATTACAGCATTTTTTTACCAATCATTAAAATTTACTGTATATATTGACTATTCAGTGGACAAGGATATATACTAAATTATAGTATGTTCAAACAAACTAATCTTGAGAAAAATTAGTTTTTTAATCAGATTCCATATGAAAATATTGCAAAATATTATGTTAGAACGTTCCAAAAATACTTGCATTCTAGTTTTTTGACATTTTACATGTATAGTCTGGCAGCTTTGTTTATTGGTAATGTCATAAGTATAAATGTATATTGATTTCATAAAAAAAGAAGACATAATAATTCTATTATACACTAGAATTATAACATGTTTTTTAAGAATAATTATAATTAAGAAGAGGATTATACTTGACTTGGCTTAATCCTTTGGAGATCCTGAGGAGCAAAAGGCGGCAGTTACTTTTCTCCACTGGATTCTGTTTTGGGAAGCTAACTTCAGTTGACCCCATGTAAGCCCCACAGCCCTCGCTTTTCTTTCCAGCCCTTCTCTGGGGATTGCAGTCAAATACTTGCTTCACAATGTTGACATCTTCACTTTTCATGGCGTACCTGATCCATCCCCATTTGCAGGCTTTAATATCCTTGTCTGTTGGCAGTTGTTTTGTGACTTGTCATCATTGAACATTTTGTTTGGCCATCTATCTTAAGGTTTATAGGCATTACAATATTTTGCTACACAGCACAGGTGTGTAGGTTTCAGTGGCGTAGCTACCATAAAGCTAGCGTAAGCAAGGCATAGGGGCCCAAGGCAAATAGGGGCCCTTTTTCAAAAGTTTGAGGGGAGGGGGGTTGCAAATCGAAAGTCTGAGGGGGGGGGGTGCAAATCGAAAGTTTGTCGCCGGGAAGGGTCGCTACGCCTCTGAGGGGCCCACTAACACTTTTTGCATAGGGGCCCAAAAATCCTAGCTATGCCACTGGTAGGTTTATCTGACTTAAGTAAAAGAAATTAAATTAGGTGCTAAAGACTAAATATCTACATGTTAAATTGACAAACACAAAAATTTATATCTGAAGAGTATGCTATTTTTAAGGGTAATTTAATTTCAACTTTTGATATAAGCCCAAAAAATTCTAATACACTTAAGACGGGTTTTTTTTTTAACATTTAGTGGTTTTTTTGGTATTTAGATCACAAACTAGGGACGCTACAAACTACAAATCTCAATTTTTGTTTACAGATTTCACTAACTGTAACACTGCAGTTAGTGCGCCAAGCAATTAGATCTAGATTCAAGATCTTAGAATCTAGAAAATAATTCTACGCTTAGATCTAGACTAGACTTATTCATTGAAATACTTTACAAAATAGACAGAATGTCACTTGTCATACCAGCAGGCGTTTTTTTGCTATCACAAACATCATGGCCCGTTTCCTACATGCTGAGCAAGCAAAATCTGATGGGAAATCAAGCTTACGTATTTCTTGCTGGGGTTATCTGTTTGCTGTTATCAATGCTAGGACCCGCAATACTGCTTCGACGACAAATTAAAAATGTTGAGCCTCTTATGTATGGTATGGCCATACTAGACTCTAAACTTTTAAATAAACTCTAATACTTAGGCCTAATACTAAACAAGATGTTAGAATATTCTACACTACTTGAACTTACTAGATCTAACTCTAATAGTAATTAGTAATTAATTAGCCTACTAATCAATAGTTATTAGTTATTATTACTATTAGTATTACTAATTAATTACTTAGTTTAGGCCTGGGCCTAGTTATTAAAATTAAAAATATAATACCCCTTTCTTGGACTGCAGTGCTACAACTACAACACCTCAACTGTCTTCACTACCAGTGTTTCTTCCAGACTTTTTTCTCCAGGGGGGGGGGGGGGGGCACTTGATTGGGGGGTCTGTAAACTTTCTTCGGGGGGGGGGGGGGGGGGGGGGCGGACACTGTTAAAAGTATAGTATATATTTTCTATATAAATTTCATTTCGTTCGGGGGGGGGGGCGGTAAAAAATGTTTGGGCTTTGCCCCCCCAAGAGATGCATGGAAGAAACTCTGTTCACTACTTTGAGTCACACAGCCTGATTTACTAAACTTTATTTGAGAGTAGTAGGCTACTAGATCTAGATCTATCACCTAGTAACTAGGGCAGGGAAAGAAAAATGAGGAGCCCCTCTCTCCCAAGTGGACATAAAATTTTAAATGTAAAATATTATAATTAATATCCAATTTAACCAACCCTCCCCTCCTCTAAAGGTTCAAGTGTCATCATAACCACCCCACCCTTCCACACTCAAACATTGATTCTTAATGAAACCCTGTCTAAAAACTATACACTTGTTGAGAGCCTCTGGTTACATTTCTGCAAGGGGCACAGGGTTCATCATTGTGCACCAGGGGGAGAACAGGGTGCTCCAAGTCACATGATGGTTAGAACGATTTATTTATCAATTATAGTAGCCCACCATATACCTAAAATAAATGTAGGCCCCAAGTAGAACCCCTGAACCCCAGTACAGGATGCTCAATGACCCTTGTTTCTAAGATAGCTGCTGAGGAACTCAGTGTGCCAACCTCATACTACTTTCAGAACACTGTCCCTCCAAATATTTTAAATTTTTTTTTGGTAGAAACCTTCCCTGGAGAGTATTCAAGAACCTACCAATCATTGAAACACATACATTCATTTATTTGTATATAATGTAACTTGCAATTGTATAATTACTTGAATATAATTTTCTTTATTTTACAGTTCTTGGTGTATTTTGTTGGACATGTATGATTGATCTTGGCATAGGGCTAGAACTGGATCACTACATTTCAAATTTCATTGGGTTTTATCTAGCTGAAGGAGAGCCTTATCTTCGAACTGCACATGGCACTGTGATAAACTATTGGGATGGGACAACACACTTTGGTCTTTATTTGATTATCTTAACACTTTATTCCCAAAGGTATAGAAAAATTTGATTTATTTTAATTACATTGCTCATTTCTACCTATCACTTTTCTTAATCTGACGAAAGTTTTTTAAATCATTTAAATCTGTAAATATAAATCTGTATTATTTTAAAGTTGACCTCCAATATTTACGCTAAGTAACTAAACACAGTATAATATAAACCACCTAATGAAATGGATTTATTTATTGTTTCAATTTAGATTCAATTACTTTGTTTTTTTAGAAAAAGTTACAGAGAATGTGCATTATTCTGGGTAGGCTCTATACTGAACAGCATGGTTGTTTTATTGCCTGGTGGCATTGCTGGTAAGTTTTTCTTGTAATCAATGTTTCTTCCAGACTTTTTCCTCCGGCAGTGTTAAAAGTATTTATTTTCAACATAAATTCTATTTTAATGGTGGGGGGGGGGGGGGGCGCCTCCAAGAGATGCCTGGAAGAAACTCAGCTAGTAATTCATAAATATTTTCAAAAAATTTGTAATTAGCATTCAGATTATATATTTCCTAAACAATGTTTGTAAACTATGTTGTGCATGCAATAAATTTAATTGCTTTTGTTATATAGTAGAAAAAAATGTCTTTTTCATTATGTTTTAGCCTAATTTATTATTTATTAAACAAAACTTAAATATATGTATATAGAATGTTTTTTATTTGTTTTGCAGGAAACCATCCTTTCAAACTTTCTATATTACTGAATACACCTTACATACTAGTACCTTTGTTTGCTGGATTTAAACTTATTCATGAGCATCCTGTACAAGCCAGATCATTTATCAAGGTATCTAGAATATATTTGGAATGCTATTTGTACTTTTGACATCCATTATAATGTTGTGAATTCTCATTAAAATTGATATTGCACATTTTTTTTCTATTGCCTTAGAGTTGGATATTTTTTATAGCTGTTAATGTAAGTTTTGATTTTGTAAAATAAATATTTGAAAGTAAAAATGTATGTTTTGTGTTATGTTCACAGTTCAAACCCTTGTGGCAGCGTCCCCTAGATTTATTTTTCTTCTTGTTTTTTATTGCTGCTATATGTATTTCAATCTTCCGTGGACTGGTAAATTTTTTTAACCTTCCAAATTGTGTGGTTAAATACAAATCTAAATTTAATCTATTTAGATACATTTTAATATATATTAATTAAATTAACAATATAAAATTTACAGACTTTGCTGAATGGCAATGCAGTGTTGATGACTGATTACTTGAAACATGTTGAACCTTACATGAAAGATCTATCCAGTTTTCCAAAGTTTCAGGTATTTTATTTCTACTTAACAAAGTTAATTCAATTTTTAAGCGTATTATAGTCCTCTGCTATAGATTTCCTTGTTTTAGTCAAAAAGATTGTAAATATATTTAGTATGTGTCAGGCCTGTTTGCATGTTAGATCATTTCCTTTTTGCTATTTGTTACTTTAATATTTTTAAATTTCTTAATGATCAGATTCATTGCAGAGTTTTTAAGTTTTGATTTCACTAATAATCTTTTTAATGTCTTTTCAAAACTTTTTTTCAGATCCTGGCATATGGATATTTCTATCTGGTCTACTATTTTGCTGCAGCTTTTGGATTGTTGTTTCCTGGCAAGCACTGGATGGCAGATTGGTCTCTTATTCATGCTGGTGCTGCTGCACAGGTGAGTTCAGTTAGCGTCAACTAAAAGAAAGATATGCCAGTATTTCAGTGTCAAACTTGTGTTTCACAATACCTCCTACTGTTTACTTTTTTGTACGTCAACAAGAAAGATTAAGTTGAAAATAGACAGCTTTTAAGACAGGTGAAGTAGGGTTTATCTAAAGGTGTAGTCAGTGTTGTATTATCTGCCCTACAATCCTAGGTACAAATCTGATATAAATCCCATTATTATTTTATTGATATATACATTTTCTAATATTATTCCATTTATCTACCACTGCTTTTTTAACTTTTTACCTATGTACTATTTCAGGCTCAAGTCACATATATTTGGGGCTCTCTACATCACCGAACTCCAGGGCCTCTACACCCACCTCTAGAAGGTACATCAGCAGTTGTATTTTGGAGCATAAACCTCAGCTTACTTATTATTCCGCTTCTTTTCGCAGTGAGATGTTTGCAGGATGTAGAAAGTTTTGGTCGTACGTTCACTGTTTATCCCTCAAAGTATGAAACACTGGAAAGAAATGCATCAGAGAAAAGTAAAAAGTTGAAGTAAAATGTATCATAGGTAGTTTTAAATTATCAGCAATGTAATGTAACAGATGTGAATTTTTTGAAAGTTGAAGCAATTATTTTTAAACTACATAAATTTATTAGTAATGGTATAAAAAACTGCTATGTTGTTTTTAACTACAAAGCTTAAATAAAACAGTGGTGTAAAATCATGACATTGTAGGACTTCTTTAACATAAGCAATTTTTACAGTACAAATAGTAAAATATTATTTTCAGTACAACTTTTAAAAACTGTTAACAATTTGTCATGATCATTTATACTTTTCTCATATCATGTACAATATATGTATATAAATATATATATCTTTATTTATTAGTTAACCATATGAAGTAGTGAAATATTGTTTGAAATTATCTCACATATAACTAATTTATTTGAAAGACTTAGTTTTTAAGAACTTTCCATCAACTTATTCAAATGAACATTAATGTTGAGTTTTTTTTTAGTATTTACCATGTGATATTTATATAGTATCAGAAACAGGTTGTGAATTGTGTATTATTACATTCTTGGGGAATGCTCAGCAGTATTATCATAATTTAATCAAACTAATGAAAGTACTGATATACTTACTATTCAATTTTAAATCATTAAATAAACCAAAAAATGTTATTTGGTAAGGAACATTGTTTTCAGTGTATGCTCAATAACTACTGATTTTTTAAAACTTCCATCTCACAAACTTATCCATATACATTATTCATTAACTGCAAAGTCAAAAGTACATCATTCCAAAAAATACAATCATAAATTTTTATTATTTCACTAGATTTTTTAAAATAATTATTTAATTTCATTAAATTATCACAGATTTGTTTGGTTATTAAAACTATATTTAAAAAAAAAATCTCCATTTTAGGACATTAGTTTTATTTGTATTTCTCTAATCTATTTCTCTGTGGCCTGTGGAGTTTGGAAAAATCCATAAGTTCTCCATTGGTTTCAGTTAGCTGTAAATCCAGACCCAGCCAACTGTTGCTTTATTCTATACATAAACCAGTTTCTTTCGTCCTTCTCTTCTGTGTGCCTTGTTCTCTTCATCCTTATTCGGTTTAATTGTGTAAGCAAGGTTGTGGGGGGAAGGGGGTATCAGCTTTTTATTTTATAAGTATATACATATAAATTATGATTTTAAATACGTACTATTTAGGTTATATGAAATTGTAAACATAAAATGACACACGCTCACTGTTGCAAATAGTTGTAACTTAATGTTAGACAGCAAGTAAAGGAGGCTTATAAACCAATCTTCCCAGAAAATTCCCCTGCTTAAGCCACTGGTGTGGTCTATCTGTTTTGGGGATCATCTGTGGTGTTCTAGGGAGGAAAGGTACCAGCTGAAATTCTATGCTCATGTCCCAGTTGTTACCTACAGTGATAATGAAAAGCAACACTATTCTCTTTCCAAAAAGACATACCTAATGCTCAATAAAAATGTATTTATTGCTTTATAGTTAATTATAGATCAAATATCAGTAAGATATTTTCCAAAAATGTTTTTATTATATTGGTTTGTGAACAAAGTTATAAAAAAAAGATATTGTTAAAAATGTAGGTTGTGTCCATCCTTCTTTAGTACAGATTAGAAAAAAATTGTGTAGTTTATTTTAAAAATGTTTAATTTAATATTAAAGCTGACCAAATTATTAAGAGTAATGTTATTGTAATTTTATACTTTTAATAATAACTTGCTAGATTAGCTTCATGTAGGATGGACAGTGATGAACGACTTTTTTGTTTTTGTATTCCATAATAAGTTGTTTCAATGCTATTACTATTAACTTTTACTATACTTTATATTGTAAAACAAAATGTACTAACATTTCTGCCTTTACTCCCTAGCAAAACTAGTTTGAATGTATAACATTTACCTATATAGTACTAGTAGTGAATGTAGATCTTTAAAGCACATGTACCAAGCTTTATAAACATGTTTTATATTATTACTTGTATGCTTTATTTTGAACTAGACATTTACTATAAATCATTATTCAAGAAAACATTACATATAATGGTATAATCTTTAATTTTGTTGTTGCTCCTTAAATATTTTAAAAAATTAGAACATTGTGAATTATTGTTTATTGATATAATTTTCAACATCGCTAATGAAACCACTTACAGATTTTAGAGATGCATGCTTTTATTAAAGAAAACAAGTTTGTTTTATTTATTTTTTTAATTTTTAGCGCATTAAGTGCTTATTGTTATGAAGTTTTTAAATCTGCTTTATTACTCCTCATTTGAGATGTTATTATGGCCAGAAGATTGTCAATATTTTGTGCAAACAATAGTTTTGGAAAATTAAGTCATAGTTGGGTGGTAGAGCGCTCCACGTATGCCAACTTTGTTCAGATCTTGATCTGCATGACATCCCTGAGTCCACCCAGCTTTGACTCATGTTAGGGAAAGTAAAGGCGGTTGGGCATAGTGAGTACCACACCATCTCTTCATATGCCAAGGGGTCTTCTCTTAGTGGGAGGCAAGTCAGAATTTTCCGATGGGTGGGGGGGGGGGTCAGAAATTTTAGTGACACTCTTTGCAATTTAAATAGTAGTGTTAGAAAACTGAATTAAAGCTGTTTTAAAAATAGATTTTTTTTTGTAAATCGTTCAAAAAATTGATTACTAGGCCAACTCAATGATAACCGAGCTAATTAAAAACTTTTAGAAAGAACTAGACGTTTTGAAAAAAACAGAAACTGCAATCGTGAAAGGGTTGTAGGGGAGGTTTAAATCTTCATGAAAAGAGACGTCATTTTTGGTTGGGAGTCAGTGTGGTCGAGTTGGTAATCTCATAGCTGCTATAAACCGAAAATCCCGAGTTCGAACCTCCGGGCAGTTGAGGCTTTATAGCTGAGAAAACTCAAAAAATCAAACCGCTGCCTTGTAGTTTGATCTGGGTTGGACAAAGGTTAGGCCAGCAAATCCATAAAGAAAAGCATGTTAAAATCACAGTCAACGGCCTAAATAGCGCATAACAAGTTTTCACGTAGGCCTAATACTTAATGTAGTCATCCATAAAAAATTCGATTTTTCGGACCCTCCCTTCTCCATATTTACGTCATAAATGAATGACCCTCTGAATATCCCGTAGTCGGCGTAGTAGGCCTATTTTAGTATCTTCGAGATACTACCCCGAAGATGCGTCTATGGTGTAAAAAAAATTAACCGGAGCATGCTAGATAGCAAAAATTAAGAACGAAGAAGAAGAACCTCACCGAGTCGGAAAAACATAATTTTGCAATCTTGTCTATATGTCTATGTGGTGTGTGTGTGTATGTATGTGAGTACCGTTACAGCTAGGTTGGTGAAATTTCATATATAAGTATTATATCAAACGAGCCGACCCGCGGCGTATCATACGCCTCTATTTAGTTGTTTTATTTTCTACTTTTCAGTAATTCATAATTTGTGAATTCGACAGTACCAACGCTGCCACTGAAAATATTTGCTTTAAAACACTATCAGTAGCTCGTTAAGGACGATAACCCCCCCCCCTCCTTTCCCCAACCCACACCCCCCACCCCCCGTGAAAGTAAACTCCTCTTAGTTACCTCCCCTAAGTTTAAAATCGTTTCAAACTAAATTATCTGCCCCTAATAGCCGTCACTAAACCCGGTTGTAAACGTTTAGCGTGAACCACAGCTCACCAGATCATGTAGGGGTCGGGGTGGTAGGGAGCGCGCTTACAGCTTGGTGTTTTCTATCGTCTCCAAGAAGAGAATTATATATATATATATATATATATATATATATATATATATATATATATATATATATATATATATATATTTGTAGATCCATATCAACTTTTCAGCGATTTCCGATAACCGGAAGTGTAACTTTTTCTACTTGAGTACTATTTCAGATAGATAAATGAAATTTCACATATAAGTAAAAGATATAATTATCTGCTTTCTATCAAATTTTGAGTAATTTCCGTTGTTAAAACATCGATATTTTCCCAAACTCTTGTCTGAACCATGTTAAAATAGAGTATTTTAATCATATATATTACAATTTATTAAAAGAGTTTTCTAAAACGCGAAATAACGATAAAGATTCGTTTTCTAACATTGCTTTTTATAATTCAGTGTGACGACACACCATCTGAACCCTCCCCCCCCCCTCTCTCTCCCCGTCATCATACACCGTCACAAAATTATGAATTCCCTCCCCCCTCGGGGTCGTCCATAAATGATGTCACACTCGTAGGGGGAGGGGGGCCGTAATTTTGTGACGGTGTGGGGGGGGGGGGATTCAGATGGTTCGACGTCACACTATGCCCCCCTACCCCCTACGGATGTGACGTCATTTATGGACAACCCCTTTGTAGTTTGATCTGGATTGGACAAAGGTTAGGCTAGCAAATCTATATCAAATAAAAGCAGGTTAAAACCGCAATCAAACGGCCTAAATAGCTTATTACAAGTTTACACGTAATACTTAGATCTAATTGTGTTGGAGGAAATCCCTTCCAACATTACAACTAAGCTTGAAATGGAGATTTACTTTTTTACATGTTCTGGTAGAGAGCTGGACTGCTAATCCGTTTGTTTCGAGTTCGAATCCGTGTCCAATTTTTTAGACCGTCCCTGAGTCCACCCAGCTCTGATGGGTACCTAACTCAAAGGCGGCTGGGCATAGTGCCGAGATAACAGAAACAAGTGAACTCTACTTCACTTGCCCCGTAGACCGTAAGGTTTGAAAGGGAACTTTACTTTTTTTTTATGCTACATCAGAAATCTGGATATGCCTAGGCTACATGACAAATAAAAAACGGGTTTGCTGCTAATATTTTAAAATGTTTCACCCGATCAAGTTGATTAGGTCTACTAGTTGTCTACTACTAGATATAGATCTACTACACTACGCGTCAGTTAAGAAACGGGAACCCCGAATCTAGATCTATATTCATTATACTTGCGACATGTATACTATACATGTCTAGAAAAAAAACTTCGCAATAAGTGAGTAGGCTCCCCTATTATCTTAGGCCCTATAGCCTATAGCGAAGTTTTTTTTTCTAGACATGTATAGTATACATGTCGCATGTGTAAACGCGGTAGTATGATTCGCAAACTGACTCATTTAAATTTAAAGTTAAAAAAAAATAGTCTTAAAGTTTTTTTGCGTAGTAGTGTTTAAGCCTTCTTCAAAAAGGTAGATCTATAATCTAGAACCAGAATTTAGATCTAGATCTAGACTATCTACTATCTAGATAGTAGATTCTAGTAGTAGGCCTAAAGTAGTAGAGTCTAGAAGTAGAATCTAGATCTAGATCATAGCCTGATTAAATTAAATCTAAAAAACTTCAAAAAGGAATTCAAAATCAAGTCAACTGTGATTAATTTAACTAAAATCGAATTTAAGTACTCTAAGTCAGGTGTAGACTTTAGAGACTTTAGCTAACAATAACATCAAGTTGATCAAGCTTTCGAAACTTTCAACTAATATTATATTTTAAAATTTTAATACTAATACTAGATCTAGAATCTATATAGATCTATATAATTCTCTTCTGGGAGCCGTTAGAAAACAAGCTGCAAGCGCGCCTTACAGTCCCCTCTCTTCCTCTCTATCACTACCACCACCCACCCCCACCCCCTCACATGGTCTGTTGAGCTGTGGTTCACGCTGTTTAGATTTTACAATCATAGAGACGGTTTGGTGACGGCTATTAGGGGCAGATAATTTAGTTTGAAATGATTTTAAACTTAGAGGAGGTAACTAAGAGGTGGCTGCTTTCACGTGGGGGGGGAGGGGGGTTAGTGTTTTTAAGTAAGCAAATATTTTCAGTGGCAGCATTGGTACTGTCGAATTCACAAATTATAAATTACTGAAAAGTAGAAAAAAAACACTAAATAGCGGCGTATGTTATGCAGCGGGTCGGCTCGTTAGATTTAATACTCTAATTCCTAATGGCTAATACTTAAAGTTAATAGTATAGTAATAAAAACTAATAAATATAAAAATAACTAAACTAAGTGAGATTATGATTAACATTCATCATCATCATCTTTCCCTTTTTCAAGCCTTTTTGTACCCAAGACAGATGGGGCCACCAGAGAAAGCTCCCTCAACTTTTGTTTTGTTGGTCACCAGCAATTTTCCTGGCAGTCCCCCATATGATAGTCCTGCCTCTGCATCCACACTGTGCTCCTCCATGTATCCCTTGGCCTTCCTTCCTTTTATTTTCCTTGAGGAAATTCCTGCGATGTCTTCTGGATTCATTCTTAGGACATACCCTATCACCATTTTCTTCTGTCAATTATTTTGAAAACTTAAATCCTTCGTAAGCACCTAGTCTGGAAAGAGTCCAGTGATCTGTTGGGGGCGGGGGTTACTTTCAAGCATTCACTACCACACTAAAACGCTGAGGACATTACTTTTTCAGACCTAAAATTCTATAGGGAAGATGAAGTAGAGTTTGTTTCTTGAACTCGACATGAATGGATGATGTGGTTAGCTCTATGCCCAGTTGCATTTACTTTCCCCATGAGTCCAAGTCCGGACCTAGTTCCTAGTAGCCGAATGCTATACCAGTTTAACCACGCCATCCCATGGAGGGAGGTAGTGCATAAGGTGATGGAAGGGGGGGGGGCATAATCTGCTAAAACAGTATGTCATTTGTAGAGGACATTAGATAGCATATGCCCTAAACCAATGCTGGACAGGCATTGATCTCTATGACCTTAAGTGTTGTTATGATACGTTTACAAATATGTGTTTTCAGCTTCAGGATTAATGAGAACTCAAAACTAAGATACTGAAGAGGATTTGTTTTAATTAAGATTTTTTAGCCTACTTAACTATAATTAACTTTTTTTTACTTCAGAGTCTTGGAATGGATGAAGCATTTTCATACATAAACAGTTTAATTTCTGAAAATCAGAATGTCTCTGATATAATAGCAGCATTGGCGGTTCTGTCTGAATTGCTAGACTCCAATAATGAAGTCAAATTTAGAGAAAGTTTAATAAGTTCTGGTCTCTGTGCAAGTCTAATAATGCTTTTAAAACAACCTAACCAACTCAAAGGTCAATCAGCACAGGACCTGAATCAGACTGACACTGATAATGATGATGCCAGCAGCCTGGATAACAATCAGCCTCTCATATGTCGGTTAGCAATGAAATGTCTGAAGTCTATTTATTCAGTCAACTTAAGCATGATATTTCAAGATTCCGCTTTAATGACAACTCTGTTTAGCTATATCTCACCATATGCAAGGCAACATTTTTATCAGTTTAGTACTAAATATAACTCCAGGTTTAAAGAGCTCATCAACAATTGTGGTGGAAATGTGGAGGTGATAATGCATTGTAATGCCAGAATAGATGTTCATACAAAAGAATTATTTTTATATGAACCTGATCTGGTAAAGAATGCTTTAGTAGATGCTATTTACCTTTCTTCTGTGAAAGTTCCATCAGGAGTAGTTGTTTCTGATAATCTGTTAGATCAGGCTCTTGCTTGGAAGAAAATGCCAAATTTTAAAAGCTTGCTAATGCTAGAAGAAAAACAGCCCCATGAAATCTGGCAAAAGTCTTTTGTTACCCGTGTACTAAATGGTAACTTCTTCTGGATGCTGTACGGAGAAGACAGCATTAAGACTGCTGAAAAAATTCAAGATTTCCTGAATACTCAAAGCCATGAATTAATGAAAGTGGAACCCAAAGTTTTTGATATAGTGGCTGCCAAGATTGAGATAGACACAGAGAGCAAACTTTTTAGAGCATGTATTATATCTGAAGAGAGTGGGTCTTACACTGTGTTTGCTCTTGACTCTGGAAACATATACCAAGTAACTGATGTTTATTTTCTTCCACCTGAATGGTCTGATACCAATATTCCAGCTCTTGCAGTTTTGGGTTATATAGAAGGTACAAGCTTTATTTCACTCTTATCTTTGTGCCAGCTTATAATATTGCAAATAATGATTTTGAATACTACTATAATTAAATTTTTACTTAATTCAACCCTCGTTTAATCGTACAAAAGCCTCTATACAGCATACCTAGACCTACTATAATTATGTAACTTAATTCAGGTTAAAAGATGCAAATGTTGCTATGGTATTTTTCAAACTTTTTATTAGGTGTCTTGCCCGTTCCCCTGGATTCAACAACAGTGGAACTTGCAATTGCAACTCTTTCTTCAATAATAAGGTAAACACTTACTTATGAATATATACAATTTAATGAGCTAATAAGTTGCCTATGTTCAGTTTCTGATTACTATAGCAAAGCCATTAATGTAGAATGCTCTTTGGGTCTTAAAACATCATTATGGAATGTTGAATTCAAGTGGCACATACATACCGACCTTAACCCCAATGTTTATTTTACTACAGCTGTTGTAAGGGGAAGCTACTGTTTTAACATTTTGTTATGCAATCATTCCATATTGCTTTTTGGTAGCTTAGTAGATTGGGTATTGTAGCTTTTATATTTGATAGATTGGTAAGCCTGAATTGATATATATATATGATTTTTTTTTTAGTATGCTGTAACTAAAGAAAATGTTGTTTAAAAAAAACTTTGATCCTCTCTGACTTTAAAAGTTGGTAAGGGGTCATCCATAAATGACGTCACACTCGTAGGGGGGAGGGGGGTCCGTAATCTTGTGACGATGTGTGATGAGGGGGGGGGGGGGTTCAGATGTTGCGACGTCACTTTTGCATTATAAAAAAGCAATGTTAGAAAACGAATTTTAAACGTTATTCCGCGTTTTAGATAACTGTTTTAATAAATTGTAATAGTTTAGACAAGATTTTAGAAAAATATCGGTTTTAAAAAAATTCAACTGCAATTTTGAGGGGGGTTGTAGGTTGAGGTGTGACGTCATTTTAGAGGGGGGGGGGGGGTCTGGCTTTTTGTGATGACATGTGATGGAGGGGAGGGGGGGAGTTAAAAAAGAGTGACGTCATTTATGGATGACCACTAATAGAAATGATTAATCAATTATGTTTGATTCTTTCTGCTTTTATTTGTATTAGATATGATTCATCAATTATTGATCAAGTTTTGAAGGCTGGTATTCTGGACTTTCTACCAAACTTGATGGTTTGCTCTGACTTAGAGCTGGTAACTGAATCATTTTGCCTTGGTGCCCATCTTTTAATCAAAGAAGATAGTCAGTGCTGTCAGAAGTGGATACAAATTATCAGTATTGCATTAGGTAATAGTGTTATTTAATCTTTCACTTAGGCGTAGTTTATTTTTTAACTGTTGTATTATCTTTTTTTGCCCTCTGCCAAAAGCATAATAATAACTAAGCAAAGCATGTCTTATTTAGCCTTTAATTTATCATGAAAAAAGCTTAAAGAATTTAAAACAGTTGAAAGTTGAGATAGAAAAGCCTAACCCTATTCTTTTAAAAAAGATACCCAAGTTACATAGGCTTAGTGGCGGAAGGGGGTGGGGGAAGCAGCCATCTTTAAGACAGTCATACCTTTTTGAAAATTAGTACAACAAAATAAATAAAATTATGTTTGTAAATATTCATCATCTTTTCCTGTTCATGCCCAAGACGCATTGGGCAGATGAAATAGAGCTCATTTATTTCAATGACCTTGGCAAAGAAAGGAAAAGTGTGGACAGCATTGTACACAACTGTCTTTGTTCTCCTAACATAAGTCAGATGCCCATCAGAGCTGGGCGGACTCAGGGATGTTTTTACACATTTAAACCCAGATTTGTACTCAAGACTGTCGGATTAGCAGTCTAGCGCTCTACCACTGGGCCACACCGTCCACTTTGTAAATGTTAGTAACTATAAAAAAATGTCAGAGAAGTTTGAAGAAGTTGACATTTTACTGGGATGCTATTGAGTTTAAGCTTAAGAATTTTAAAATATATCCCTTGGTAAAAAAAAAGCTGTTGTCAGGGAAGATTGCAGTGGTTGCCTTATGCTGTACCTGTTGTTGTTGGCCTGATGTTTCTGTCAGTGATGGCCTAATGTTGCTGTTATCCTGATCTTCCTGTTGCTGTTGGCTCGATGTTCCTGTTGCTGATTGGCCTTATGTTGTATTGGCCTGATGTTTCTGTCACTGTTGGCCTATGCTCCTGATGTTATTGGAAAGATCTTCCTGTAGCCGTTTTCTGTATCTATTGATTTCTATTAGTAGTGAAGTATAGATGTGTAGTTGGGTGGATTTTTAAAGAATTGTTGTTAACAGTTACTTAGTTAGTGTATGGTGTGATGTTATTCAGTTTTTCTGAAAGTATCTTGAGTGTGCCTAATGTGATGTGTTTGTATGCAACTTCAAGTGGATGTAAATAAAGTCATGGTACTGTGTGTGTCAACACATTTCTTTTTTTTTGTTTAGTATTATTGTAGGTTTAGTTTGAATTGGATGACTCAGGTTTAGCAAACCTTCTAGTCCCAACAAGGATACACGAATATAAGAGTAAATAATACCACCTCTGTCCCCCTTACACAAACATTGATATATCATCTATGGCCCATTGTTTTAAAAGAGGGAGTACTTAAAAATACCAAATCTTAATTGTTAATTATATGTAACTGATTAACCTGTATCATTTTTATGTGTGTTTGACTCAAGATACCCTTCAGAAATGTGTGACCAATGAAAGTTTAACACATTACTGCTTACTGCTTCTTGCAAACCGGCTCTTTATGTGTCCAGTGGCCAAGAATCACTTTTACGATGTAAAAGGTAATTTTATCCAAGGCCTAACCTTTTTTATTTTAAAATCACTATGGGTGCCATCCAATTGTATTCTGATTTCATTTAGCTTAGGCTAAAAATTTAGTATGGGTTACAGATCCATCAAAATTTTCCACCTTACTACATTAGTAGAAAAATAAATGTTTGTTTATAATGAGACAGCCCCACCACTTCACGCTGTCCTCAGCGGAAAAAATTAATGTTAATAGCTGAACGCAGCTGCACAATTATTTGTACTTCAATAATCAAAATTTAAATAGTCTTCATCCTCTTCAACTAAGTTTTTTTTTTTAATTTAATAATTTTTAAACTTAAATTTTCAGGTCTTGATATAGTCATGCATACTGGGATCATTTTCAGAGAAAATAGGTTGATTCATGAAACTGTAGTCCAAGTTTTAGCCAACTTTGTTCATAACAATCGTCAACATCCTATAATTACACATTCTATTAGGTAGGCCTAATCTTGTCAGATTAAACGAAATTTTAAAGTTTAGATTAACCTTTTTATTTACCTGTAACAGTTCAACAATTTAAGCTCTATTCAAAAGTAAAATCATATTCAACTAAGTCTCTAAGTTAAGCTAGAAATTTAATCTAATGTGTTTGTATTTTACCATATTTTTTTGGAAAATTAAGAATAGATAATAAAAATTTCAATGCACAATGAAAAGAGAAATATTTTTAGTTCACAGATAAAAACAGTAAAAAAAATAGATGAAATATAGAACAAATAGTTTATGTCAGGTTTTAACAGTTTACAGGAATACAAAGCTAAGCAGTTGCAAACAACAAGAAGACCAAATGCTGCAGTTAAGGGCTTTGGTTATGAGGTATGTTTCAACTATGTTGGAACTATTTTTTTTTTGCTGATTTATTTATACTAGTTTTAAGATTATAGATCTAAAAGACAAACCTTGAGTGGTCTGAATATTTTGATAACATTTTAAATACTGGTTCTAATTATAACTTATGCTGCTATCTGACAGGATTCTAGTGATGAATCATCATCTGACGAGTCTGAAAATGAAGGTATTTAAGAATAACCACTTTTACTGGCTTAGTAATTCCTCACAGATGTACAGTTTATATGGAATTGCTGGTGGTTTAACCTGCCAACCATATATCTTGGTTGACTTTACTTATTATAAAAGAGAAATAGCATTTTACAAGCCAGATGTTATAGGCATTCTGTAGATGTTACAAATAAAGACTACTTGTATGTATGGTTGTTGACTGGATGTATTGATAAGGCTTATCAATGTGGTAGGCTAGTTGAACCAGCCACAGTAATATTCAATATGGTTCAAGAATTACTTGCTTTGGCTCAAAACTTTATTTTACTAACAAATTAAACAGTCCTTAACACTGTTGATTCATCCATTGTAGCACTTCTGTGTCCAGTTTGATAATCTGTTAAGCCACTGTGATTTGGTTTGTTTAAATGGATTTTGTTGCAATGAACTGAATTTGCAGAGCTAGATTATTCAGTTCAATTTATTCTCTCAATCTTCAGATTTGAAGAATAGGCCTGATTTTACTGCACATGAAGAGAAAACTCACTATATTTTAGGTATATAAATTAACTGTTTCTTGTTAAATTATATACAATTTAAAATATTTAATGCTGTTTTTTAAAAGCAATATAAAGATATTGTTTTATATTAAATTAAGTTTTATTTGTTTAAACTTTTGAGTAAAATGTTACTTTCCTTTACTGTCAGGTGAAAAGGTATTATTAGATCCTGTAGAAAATGATATTGGCTTATCCTGCAATATGAGTGCTGAATATTGTGTGAAGACATTTTGTGGCATGTTAAATACTGGTAAGACAAACACTACATTTAAAAAAAAATGAAAAACAACTTCAACTAATAATAAGTAATTGCTAGTTTTGATTTAGTACCATTTAAATAAAGCTCATGATAAGTGATATTTTATGCACTCTTCAGGATTAGGTGGAAAAATTTATTTTGGTATTGGTGAAGATGGTGTTGTGAATGGTGAAAAACTTAGCCACATCCTCAGAGATGAGCTAAGGCTTGGTATGGATGAGTTCATGACACAGATCAGTCCAGCTGTCATGCATTCACACTATGAGATCGATTTCATCCCTGTGATCACATCAGATGGGCAAGATACTGATCTTTGTGTCATTGGTAAATTACTACAATACAATATATACATTTACACTATTTTTTATTTTAATATATACAATTTAATTTCTGTATAATATTTTGATTTCAACATACAATGTTGTTTTTTTTTTTTTTTTTGTAAATTGCTTATTCTACACACACTCAGGGAATTAAGATCCATTTAAATTTATAATTTTGTTTCTTCATTGATGAAATTATGAACCTACTTTTTCAGTTATGAGCTGCAAACCATTTCCAAATACTGTTTATTTAATCATTGATGATAACAGCTATTACAGATCTGAAGCAAACACTCTTGTTTTTTCCCACCATGTAAGCAGAAAGTTTTAATTTTCAATATGTACCTAGTAGTATTGTTTCTATGTGTGTTCATGTATTCTTAATTTTACTCTACCTACTCTTCTTAATACTCTACATTTTAAAAAAAATTGTTTCAGGACATCAGAGAGAAATGTGTTCTTGAGGAAGAATCAAAGCACTTGGATGAGATCAAAGAATTAAAGAAAGAGTTAGCTCAACTTAAGAAGAGAAATTCCTTCTTTTAGATCAGCATTGTCCACCACTTGTTTGCTTTATTAACTCCATCTTTTGAGTTCTTGATTTTGCAGTCTCTTGCAGCACATCCATGTTTATGCTACTTTTTAGTAATATTTCATAGTTAACTACCAAAAATTATAAGAAAAACATAGTATTAGTTCTATAGAAGGTAGCTGTATTCTACTATTTAGCTATTACCAAATAATGGTAATAGTAATATGGATCTGATCTCTTCTTTTAATGTTAATCTTGGTTAGAGTTATTTTTCAAATTCAATTTTTACACTTGTCTTTATTTTAGCTCATGTTGCAGGATTTGTCTAAACTTATTTTAGATCAAACTATAAAAACTAATAAATGGAAGATACAAAAATATATAAATATATAAGATTTGTTTATTGGGCAGTGAATAGAACACACAATCATTAATTTGAATGTCTCCGGTGTGGTTCACAATTTGAACAATATGGTGTCCTTGAGTCCTTCCAGCTCTCGTGGGTACCTGGCACAAGTTGGGGTAGTAAATGAAGCTTTGCGGAGTACAAAATGCACAATTATTTTCATCTGCTTTGTAAAAGTACTTTTTCCCCACTTCTTTATTAATTTTAAACAATTACAAATTTTTAAAGTTTGTCATTCTTGTAAAGGTTTTTTGTTTTATGCACTGTACTTAAACTGGTCATTCTGGACAAGTTTTCTCAAATATCAATACAATTTCATATTTTAAATTTTTAAGTTGTTACCATTTTTTTAAAAATAACTTTTTACTGATTTTTCAGTCATTGCCATATGTAAAATCTAAATTGAAATGCAATATCAATTCAATTTCATATTTTTAATTTCAAATTTTTAAGTAGCCACATTAAATATTTTTAATTAGTTTTTCCTGATTTGTCTCATTATCATATGTTAAAAAAAAATCTAAATAAAAATGTTATGTTGAAGTAAGCTTAATCAACTTCAAGTTATTGTCATTTTTTTTCTTATCATTAAATCAATTTTCATTTCAAAATGTACTCTTGTCAATTTAAAAAAAAAAAAATGTTTTCTGATAGTAGCATTGATTTTGATGTGCTAAGTCATTAATGGCAATTATGCCTACTACATTTTTGTGAAGAGCAAAAACTGATGCAAAGCTGAAATTTATAAATACAAATGAATCAACCAGTAAAGTTCATGTTTATGTGCTGTGTTACAATTGTGCAGGTGCATTTAAAATATTCTGGTATATTAATCCTTTCTGCATTTATATTTACAAAGTTTTCTATTATTTGACTGCAGATGACAATAGAAATTAGAATAACAGTATACAACTTTCTTCTTGCTATTTCTTTAAAAAATCAAACATCCTCAACATCCACTTCCATCCTGGCAAACACAGTATGTTTTCACACCATCTCAAGTCACTAGTCAACAATTTTTTAGCCCATGACTTAACAAAGTTAATGTGGTAACTTTTTTTCATTGCTGCTTTAAAAAATCTGTTGATGAAGTAGCAATAATAATGGATTGCCAGAAGACTTAACTATTGAAAGTATTTCAGTATGGGCTTGAATATCCAAATGTGATATAGTTGGATCCTCAGGAACTACATTACTGAAGGAGTAGGAAACACCACTGCTTTTGAGGGAGATCTGTCAGTCATGGAGCAGAGCTTGAAATTAATTAATCACTGCAGATATTTTTGTTCAGGGGCCAGATTACACTTGCAGGAAACCCTTTCAAAATATTGGATTGAGTTGTTGCTAAAGGGTCGGCGTGGTTGAGACGGTAAAGCTCATGGTTGCTAAACCAAAAAGTCTCGAGTTCAAACCCTTGGGCAGATGAGGCTCATTAGCTGGGGACAGCCACTCTTCTAGGAGAGACAACTCCAAAATCAAACAGCTGCTGCCTTGTAGTTTGTTCTTGGTTGGACAAAGGCTATGGAAGCAAATCCAAAAAGAAAAGCAGGGTGAAATCAAAGTCAATGGCGCATAACCAGTTGACACGTGTGTTGGAGGGGGATCCATTCCAACACTAAAAATTAACAAAGAAGAAGTTACTAAAAATGCCTCACTATAATTACAAAGCTCTTTTTTATTTTAGATGTGTAACAGTTTGCCAACATAGAGTCTGATGTATTAAATTCAGCCTTTAGTGGACCAAACACTGTCCAGTGTCTGCATTTTATAGATGTTTTTGGGGCAATTTCACAACAAGAATGTTTTGTTTTAGTTTTACCAATGGAAATGCCTCAGTGGGCTGTGTATATATGCATCATGAGATATGCTGGCTGTTATGTTCTATCAAAAATAAAATGATCTCAGGACATCCATTCTGAAGAACTGGTAACTCTGAACATATCTTCAGGAGCTACTACAAATGAAAAAAAAAGGGCCCTTAACTGGGAAAGTAAATACAGGAGGTAGGGAGTGACTAGAAGTTGAAACTATGACACTCTAATACCATTGTTTTGGCAAGTCAATTGTCCTATTTGCTTCATCTTTTATCTTAGGCACAAGCACTATGATAACATTTTTTTTCCCTAAATAGTCCTTGTTCTCTAAAATAAGCAGGATACACCGCCTTTAAAAAAGCCATGCAGGTAAATTGTTATAAAAGATTTATTCTAGTAATAGCTCTGGTCATAACCATAAGACCCAGTTACTAAACATCAAATATGAGAAATTCTGTGAAACTATGCTTTAGTTTTAGGGGCCGCCCATAAATGTCATGCAGTTTTTCATTCACCCCTTCCCCCTAGACTAGGCACCATGACGTCAAACGGCAATCCCAGACTCAACTTTAGACATAAATCACAGCGGGTGTCTTCCCATCACTAGGTGTCGCTCATGCGCCTGCATAGAGCTCGTAGCCCTTAACGACCAGCTTGAGCCGATAACATTTAATTAAATTTTAGATTTCCCTGGCCTGATCACCCCCAATATCTTAGATTAACCCCTTGGGGTTTTTTTGTAACTAGAACCCAGTCACCTTATAAGTCCCTTTACTTTAATGAGCAACCAAGTTAAACTATTTTACTTAAGAATAAGCAATCAAGGACCAGCCAACATCTAGATCTATCTGTCGTCAGCTTGGTGATCATTGGTACTTTCTTTTTTATCTTATTACCAGTGGCGTTGGCAGGGGGGAGAGTTAGAACCCCCCCCCCCCCATGGACCCCTCTGTAAAAAAATTTTTACTGTCATAATACCACTGTTACTTATTTAAATATATTTCTGAATCAGTATATATGTAAAATTGTATATGTATGTTTAGAACAGTCATCTAACATTCTAAAATTTTGTGGACTTCATAATTGGATGACCCCTAACTCATACATTATCATTATGTTTCTGATAGTAGCATTGATTTTGATGTATTGTGTATATATATATATATATATATATTGTTTTTGTGAGTGATAAACTGTCTTACTTTGTCGGCCTACATTGTGTTTTTTCTTAATTCTTCAGAGTACTACTTTCAGTTTATTTTACATCATAGGGGTCATCCATAAATGACGTCACGCTTTTTTAACGAGTTTTACCTCCTCCCTCCCCTCCGTCACACATCGTCACAAAAAGCCAGACCCCCTAAAATGACGTCACACCTCGGCCTACAACCCCCCCCCCCCCCCTGAAAATTGCAGTTGAATTTTTTTTTTAAAACATCGATATTTTTCCAAAATCTTGTCTGAAATCTGTCAAAGTAGAGTATTTTAATCAATTCCTATTACAATTTATTATTAGAACAGTTTTCTAGAACACGAAATAACGTCTAAAATTCGTTTTCTAACATTGCTTTTTTATAATGCAAAAGTGTGACGTCGCACCATCTGAAACCCCCCCCCCAACCCCCTCATCACACATCGCCACAAAATTACGGACAGTGTTTCTTCCAGACTTTTTTCTCCGGGGGGGGGGGGGCGGTCAACCTTTTTCGGGGGGGGGGGGGGGCGGACACTAGTAAAAGTGAATGTTTATTATATAAAATCCAACTCGTTCGGGGGGGGGGGGGGGCGGTAGACTTTCTTTGGGGGGGGGGGGGGGACTAACCCCCCCCCCCCCAAAGAGATGCCTGGAAGGGTGCCCTGTCAAAACGCCCTGGGACAAATCGGCCCCGTCAAAACGGCCCCGTTAATATGACCCCGTCAAATCGACTCCCGACAAACCGACCCCGTCAAAATAGCCCCGTCAAAAGGGCCCCGACTCATTGGCTCCCGTCAAATGGGCTCCCGTCATATTGACTTGCGACATATAGGCTCCCGACAAATGGGCTCCCGACATTTAGGCTCCCGACAAATAGACTTCCGACATATTGGCTCCCGACATATTGACTCCCGACAAATGGGCTCCCGACAGTTGGGCTCCAGACAAAAGGACTCCCGCAATATTGGCTCCAGACAAAATGGCTCCCGACAATTGGACTCTAGACAAAAGAAATCCAGACATATTGGCTCCCGACTAAATGACTCCCGACTTATTGGCTCACTATAAAATGGCTCCGGCTAAATAACTCCCGACTTAAAACACTTCCCGACAAAGAAACCGTTTTCTGAGGAGTTATCACATTTTTATCTTTAAACAGTTCGCTTTCTACAAAGTTTCGAGTATTGTAATTTTATATTAACCTGATTTAAGTGCATGCTGAGCTGTTGTTTACGCCACACGACCCAAGCTCAGCTATTTCTGTTTAAATTTAGCATGCATGTTACACATTTTGCGTTTGTTGTCTAGGTTTTTCACATGTTAATTTCAATGTATGGATGTCCACATGGACCCCCTCCCTCCTTCCCAGTCCACGACAGTCGATGTTAATCGACACTCCACCCACCATGTTGACGTCATAAAAGGATGACGGCTAGCAAACATGCTTTTGAAAAATTGATCCCTGGACTACAAAAACAACACACGAAGATGTTAACAATCACACTAGCTAGTATTACAATGCGTGGGGGGAGGGGGTGGTCTGTACGGAAGTGTTGAATGTTGCCAGGAAGTAGTTCATAAACGATACATTTATCTACTCGATACTTGCAAGGCTAAAAAGAGGGGTGGGATGGAGGTCGGCTCGGGAAAAAAATTGAAAGAGACAACAAAGCGTTTATGTACGTCAGCATCGCCCTTTGTAAAACTTACTCAGGGGAGATAATTCCAAGTATAGGCCCTAAAAGTTTACTATTATATTACTTGTAAAATAAAAAAAAAAGTAAACGTATATAAAACTGAAGTTTCTAGTATTATATTATTTTTTATTATTTGTAGGATACAACATAATACAGGATACAAATTCAACCACTATCACAAACACCTATTTAACATTGAAAAATATTTAATGGATTACGGGTCCCTTACCAATGTCGCAAAGAAGAACCGCGCATCACAAAAGCCCACTTCATATGTAGCGGCTTCTCGTGCCATGGACTTTGTTTTTTTTTTAAAAAGAATTTTGCCGGCGACAGCGTGTGTTTGGTTGTAGGGAAATAGAACTCGGCCTTGTTGGTGCCCATCCCTTGCCCCATCCGCCACAGTACACTTTGAAGGATCGGTCAAACAGTTACGTGTCCTCTATTTGGCTATCAAAAGGGGGCAACGAGTCAAAGAAGTCATATTTGTTTAATAACCTGGAAGCATATTGACTGTAATTGTATCGTAGGGACCCTAACCCGGCATGTGTATAATGGGCTGCAGCATCCTACACCCCTAAGTAGAAAGGTAACAGATGACCACTAAACTAAAAATTAATACAGTACAAGAAATACTTTTTTTTTAAAAATTAAGACATGGCAACCTAAAGCTAAGGACGCTTTATTATCTTAGGCTTATTTCTCTAGTCCAGGGGTCTCCAAACTACGGCCCGCGGGCCGGATGCGGCCCGCGATGTCCTCTCATCCGGCCCGCGGAGATCTTTTTTGTCCACGGAAAAAACGTTTGTTGGTTATGGATGAGGAACTTTGCCCAGAAAAATCAAAGACATACCTAGAAGAAACTGGCCCCCGAATTGAAATTTAATGGTAAATGTGGCCCTCGGACTGAAAAGTTTGGAGACCCCTGCTCTAGTCCATTGAGGAATGGTGGGTGTTGACATGAGCCATTATCATTATGTCGGGAGCCGTATTGACGAGAGCCAAAATAACGGGAGCCTATATGACGGGAGCCACATAGACGGGAGTCAATTTATCGAGAGTCTTAATGACCGGAGCCTTTTTGTCATGAGCCAATTTAACGGGAGCCAATTTGACGCGAGCCTAAATGACGGAAGCCCTTTTATCAGGAACTATATTGACGGGAGCCCTTTTGCTGGGAGCCCTTTTGTCTGGAGCCATTTTTGTCGTGAGCCTAATTGACTGGAGCCTAAATGACGGGAGCCTAAATTATATGAGCCAAATTGTCGGTTGTCGTAATGACGGGAGCCTAATTGTTAGAATCCTTATTGACGGGAGCCCTTTTGTCGCGAGCCTTATTGACGGTAGCCCTTTTGACTGGAGCCTAAATGACGGGATCCATTTGTCTATGAACCTTTTGACGGGGCCGATTTGACGGGGCTATTTTGACGGGGCCGTTTTGTCGGGGTTGTTTTGACGGGGCCGTTTTGTCACGGGCCGGTTTGACGCCGCACGGCCTGGAAGAAACTCCCCTTCCCCCCTACGAGTGTGACGTCATTTATGGACGACCCCTTTTTTGTTTTAAAAATGTAATGATTTATTTTTAAATAGGCTGCATTTTAATGACAAATCTAATGTCTAATTAGATTAAAAATTAGATATATCTATTTATGATCATTGGAGACGAATCTATCTTATGTAAATCATTCATTAGAAATGGGTTAAAATTGAACAACAAGATTTGCCACACAAAAAATAGTGCATTAAATGCAATGCTTCAACAATTCTACATTTACTTTATAGGCATACACTGCAAATGACTGAATAACGCAGTTGGATAACGATAACACTCAACTTCACTCAAGACATCACCTTCTTCTTGTATCGAACTGATCTCGAAACAAAGTAGACTGTGGTAGATAACGAATGCAACAAATAACAGCCCGAGCTACCCGTCACAAGTTAGCCTTGCATTTTTTTTAAACTTCTAACTTCTATTAATAGAAAAGTGAATTTGGGGAATCCCTGGATTTAAAAAAAAAATGTTTAGCTATCGCTTTATGATCATCCTCAATAAATAGTACAGATCTTGAAGGCCTACATCATAGGCTAAATAACTTAATGTCATTTTACCATCCATTGTAAAATTGTGTATTATTAGAAGTAGAATCTTGTTTTGTTGTATTTTCAGTAATTATGTAGAATTCAGTCATTATATAGACTTTAACAAAATATTTTCAGAATTAGTGCCCTGCTTAATGCTATTAATACATTATTAGCGCTGTGCTACCTTAATTTTTTTGCAGAAACACATTTACCTGGCATATACCGAGTATAGAAAAGGTAAAAGCCAATGAATGAGAAGTAGGTTGTGTTCTCTCACCGGTCTGTGTTTACCAGTTCATATCGTTCTGCAGTAGTTTGAACTCTAGTATTACAGTAAATAACGGTATAAAATGACAAAATATATTGTTATTGGAGTAGTTTTGATGTCGCTTTCATCTTGGCCATTATCAATTGCATTAAGTCAGTTGAAATGTATGCAAATCGAGCGAAATATTATAATAACAGGAGTGGGTTTATTTCTGGCAGCACTGATTGGAACCTTTTTTCTATTTAAAAAGTACTTTCAGAATGTTGATCCGATGATGTATGGTAAGTTTACCGATCTTGCTATTGAAATATTGACATTTAGTCCTGTTTGTTTCACTTCAGAATTTAAAAAAAATTAAATCATACGTCAAAATTAAAAACATTCCATAACCCACCACTACCGTACTACCAACCTTGTAAAATTTTGAGCCAAATCAAGCGTCTGTGACCTAGATTTTGCATATCATTAACACACCGGCAATCCAAAAATAGGTGTTGTGACGTCACTCATTCAATTAAAAGCCATAGTTGGATAGGCCTATTTTAGTACACAAGTAACACAAGACCTATAAAGTTCAACCCCCCCTCTCCAGCCCTACTGTTATAATGCACAACTACAGTCCACTCTGTTTATATATTATTAATATTAATATTCTCTAGATTCTAGGCTTAGTCACGACTAGTTTATATATGCCAATGGTTTTATGTGGGCTATTGACATTGTTTGTAGGTCCTATTACATAACAACATAGAAATAGGCCAAGTTAAAATAATACTTTTAATAGGCCTAATAATAGTTATTTATATTATTAACTTGGGTTGCATTTTAAAATATTAATTGAATAGTCAGAACCGGGTCCAAATAGCCACTTCCATTAGGCCCTAATATTAATTAACTCATTATGCCTTTTTACTTTCTCGTATATACGAAGTATAGAGAAAGTATTGTAATCGTGCACAAAAATCACTTAAAATTTTAACAATTTTCACCGTATTACACCTCAGTCCTTCATCACATCCGAAGTATAGAGGACTTATTTTAATCGGGCAAAAATTATCAATCCAGATTTATCAAAATTAAGAGGTTTTATGCGTAATCCAGTCTGAAAAACTGGGCTTTGCAATTCTGTCCGTATGTCTGTGTGTGTGTCCGTGTGTAAACACGATTACTTGAGTACCGTTATAGCTAGGTTGATGAAATTTCATATATAAGTATTTTATCAAAATCGTAGATCCGTATCAACTTTTGAGCGATTTCCGATAACCGGAAGTGGTACTTTTCCTACTTTGAATTTTTCAAAAGCCTATAACTTGAGTACTATTTCAGATAGATAAATGAAATTTCACATGTAAGTAAAAGATCTAATTCTCTACCTTCTGTTAAATTTTGAGTAATTTCCGTTGACCGGAAGTAGTAATTTACGCTACTTCCGATTTCTCAAAAAACTAATGTAAATTTTTAAAGTACTAATAATATTGCGCGCTATTGTGCACTTTTTTATTTGGCGTTCACTAGTTCACTTGGCGTGCAATTATTTTGTCTACGAGATTTTATTCTATTTTTAAAACTTTAAGTATTTAAAATGGATTAAAAATCATGTCAATAGCCCGAGTTCCCATCCCCTGTTGTTTTATATAAGAATATTCGAGAAAGTTTAGGGGAGATCACTCCCGGTTTATTTACTTATTCAGCCTAAATATTAATATTAGGCCTAAAATTATACAATTATCATTAGGGCCCATATTCTTTTTAGGCTATTAAAAGTAAATACTACGAGCCGACCCGCAGCGTATCATACGCCGCTATTTAGTTGTTTTATTTGCTACTTTTCAGTAATTCATAATTTGTGAATTCGACAGTACCAATGCTGCCACTGAAAATATTTGCTTTAAAACACTAACCCCCCCCCCCCCCCCCCCCCTTTCCCCCAACCCCGACCCTACCCCCCCCCCCCCCCCCCACCCCCGTGAAAGCAGCCTCCTCTTAGTTATTTCTTAGTTACCTCCTGTAAGTTTAAAATCGAACTAAATTATCTGCCCCTAATAGAAACCCTGCTCTACGGCTCTACGATTTGTAAACATTTAGCTTTGTAAACATTTAGCGTGACCACAGCTCACCAGACAATGTGGGGGTGGTAGTGATAGTGATAGAGGGAAAGAGAGGGGACTCCAAGGAGGCGCTTGCAGCTTGTTTTCTAACGGCTCCCAGAAGAGAATTATATATATAGATACTACTGCTCACTACTTTGCTTACTACTGAGTACTAGACATAAGCATTAGTTAGTAGTTATTAGATTGTGTGTAGCCTATAAATAATGTAATATGTAATGTTGTTTCTATTCTGAGTGTTAACATTTTTGTAAATTATGAATAATCTAAATGTTACATCTTAAATTCCAGTTCTAAGCCTTTTCTGCTATGATGCAGTAAGTGGCCTTGGAACAGCTCTTGAACTAGATGGGTACATTCCAACTATTAAATCAAGCAATGTATCTACTGTAGAGCCATATCTGAAAACAGCTCATGGCACAGTTATCACCTACTGGAATGGGATAGTGCACTCTATCCTTTGTTTATTTGCTATTGCTCTTTATACACGCAGGTACTTGGTCAGCCATAATATAGTTTTCATGTATCACAGGCATCTTTCTACTGCATTATAGTTATCAACTTTTGAATTATATTTTATTACTAGTGCATGCAGTTGTTATTTTTGCAGGTTGTTAAAATAAACATTTTTTGTTTCAGGGATAGTCACAGAGAAATTGTTCTGTACTGGGCAGGGTCTCTGTTGAACAGTATGCTTGTTCTGTTGCCAGGTTGCTTAACTGGTAATATTAAATTTTAAATTAAATTTGATAAAAGCACTGTTCTATAAATATACTATATTGAAGTTGTATTAAATTTTTAATTTATTGTTAAATGATTCTTTTCACTGAAATTATTTTCTTGTCTATACTATATGTTATAGGCTCCAGTACTATCAAAACTCCAACTTACTTCAATGGAATCAATTTGGTATTGCCTCTGGTTACAATCTTTTATTACATTCAAAGAAGTCCCCTTCAAGCCAGAACATTTTTGACAGTAATTATTCTTTTTTGAAACAATCAAAATTCATTTTAAGTTATTTGTATGTAGCTAGCATTTTTTATTGCAAATATAAAATGTATCATCAAGTTATAAAGCACAAATTTGGCCTAGTCTTACTATTTTACGCATGACAAAATGTAATTGAATTAAGTTTTCTCAATAAACTTTTTCAACAGTATCCATCCATTTTCAAGAGACCAGTGGATCTGTTGTTCATCATCTACTTTTTATTTGCGTCTTTTATGGCGGTGTTTAAGGGTTTGGTGAGATTGATTTTATCATCATTACACAGCAATTTTTATCTTTAAACAGAATATTTTATTTTAGACAGTACTAGCAAGGAAGGCAGACAAAACAATAGATTAACTGGATGCATCAAGCAAATAATTTGCAAATGTGTAGAAGATATATATATATATATATATATATATATATATATATATATATATATATATATATATATATATATATATAGTTCTTGTAAATAAATAATACATTATACATAACAATATGTGTTTTCTCTTTGCAAATTTAATCAAACCAATGATTGCACATACGGTTTATAAAAAAAAAATAATAATTTATTTTTTTCAGGCTGTTTTAGGTGGTAATCCTAAATGTATGACAGACTACCTCAAGGTTTATGAACCATATCTTACAGAATCATCTAATTTCCCAAAGTTTCAGGTGAAATTGTTGTAGAAAACTTTTTTACTCTTACACACAATGTAACTCAATTAAAATTAAATTCTATCAGATTTGATTACTATCAAAAGACCTATAACTTTTATACTTTGTTAATGAGTTTTTAATGTTTTAGTCCTTAATGGAAACTTGAACTTTATTTTAGGCTTTGACATATGAATACATCTTCTTGATCTACTATTTGTGCGCCATCTATGGGCTACTATATCCAGGTCAACATTGGATGGCTGATTGGTCTATTATTCATGCAGGTGGTGCAGCACAGGTATTTCTTAGCTTTCTAGTAATGCAAATAGCATTTCATTAATTTACTGTTTTTCATTTGCCAGAATTAGGGTTCGACTATTATTTCTAGCATAAAATATTGAAAAACCCACTTTTGATTTTTTAGTACCATATATGTGAGACAACCGGAGTAACATCACTGAGATATGTTATGTGACAGCGTATTTAGATTTAACAAAAAAGCAGAAATTTAATCCATAGTCACCCAACTTATAAGTTTATTCACACATACTTAATTACATTGACAGATATTGTTTGTTTTCTTTTCAAACTTCTAGGCACAGTTTAGCTATATTGCTGGTTCTCTTCATCATCGCACACCAACAGCCTTTCGTTCACCTCTAAAGGGAAATGCAGCAATAGCTTTCTGGGGAATCAACATGGCACTGTTCATAGTACCACAGCTGTTTGTATGGTGGTGTCAGCGTGACCCTGATCACTATGGGCGAACATACACTGTTGTTCTTGCTACACCCAAACCAAATAAATTAGTTCCAGCTCGCCGTCCAGTCAAATATCAATATAAAGATGACTGAAATTGGATACCAAAAAAAATAACCTTAATGAGAATGAAAGATCATATAAAGAATGACTCAGTTTTGAAGAATATTTCTGTATATACTTAAATACAGGTTAATGCAGCATACATTATGTATTTACTCAAGGTTGTTTATACCACATCTTTATCTGTCATGATGTCAGCTTAATTAATCATAGGTGCTATTGTTTTACTCTTACAACATTTATGCTCTAGCAATATTTTTGGGTGCAAATTTAACTTCTTATAGTGTGGAAGTGCATCATAAATGCAATACATCTAATGGGTGAAATTTTTTTATTTCATTGTCTTAACTTGTATAATTTTCTTATATTTACATTACTATTTATTATGGTGTTGGAGTATGTTATACAGTCTTTTTTCTTTTTCATCAGACAAGAGTTGGAACTCTATTTTTATGTTATTACTCTGAATCATTATTTTCATTTATAGAGAACTATAATTTAGTGATTTACATAACAATGCTTTTCCATTTTGAAAATTTACTGTCTGAAAATGTAAGTAAATACACAAGAATCTTAATTAAAGTTCCATTCTGTCTGTGCATACTTACTTGGCAGCATTTAATTAAATGCATTTCCACTTATATTTTTTTGTAAATCTGTTCTTGCCATAACCATGTATCAATATTGTTCTCTCTTGAACATTTTACACTGCTAGCCTGGTCACATTTTACAGTGTCCATTTATTTCCCACTATATATTTTTTATATTCAACTGTACTTACCTTTTTTTTATGCATGAGATAGTGTCTTAAGTAAATATTGTTATACAAGCTTTCTGTGTATGTAGTTTAAATTAGAAAGTAGCTACAATTTATATATTTAACGTAAAAAAAAAGAGCTAAAATGAATAGAAAAAATGAGAACAAAATGCATTATAGTTTATATTTGCATTTTATTTAGTTGTAAATACTAATCAAAAGATAGTTCAGCCTATTACCTTGATCAAAAGTAAAACATATCTAATTGCATTTTGTTTAAATAACTTACAAATTTCAAAGTGTGTTAAAATTCTCAAAAACACATTAGGCCTACAATCTGGTTTTCTTTTTAAGTAGAGAAATAGACGTGTAGAAAATAACTGACCTACAGGTTTTTGGAATCCTGCTTAGGTTTGATTAAAACATCAAAATACCACCATATAACTTTTTTTGTTTTGCCTATGGTTGTTGAAGAATTACATAGTTTACATGCATTTTTAATGGAAAAAAATTAAAATCTTTGAAACCCTAAAATATTTTTGATACTACTAAAATGAATTTGAGAAGAAATGAACATTTTAGAACTTTCCTAACACACAGATTTTAAAGGGTTTTTTTATGTAGCATAACCATGGTAAAAATTCAATTTAAAAAAAAAAAACTATAACTTAGAACAATTATGGTTTTAACCACAGTTTTACATAGTTTTAGTGTAGATATTGTATAAAAATAGTTATGGTTTACACATGCAATCAATAAAGATGTTTTTAAGTAGTAACATTTGGTTTAGGAATGGAAAATTTTAAAAACAGTTTTAAATAACAAATAGTTTAATAAAAAGTGGTAATCAGGAAAAAAGTAATAAATGCACATTTATTAATTGTTGATTATTTTAATAAAACTAACAATCTGTAAAAATTAACACTGAGTTGACAGTAACATTTCAGTCAGTCTTTTATTAAATCTTAGATAGAAAGCTATTCCTCAGAGATTAAAAAAATCAACTTAGCACTGAAAGAAGTAAGTAACAAATTTTGCACATTTAAAATCTAAAATAACATACCAGTAACCATTAAATGCGTGAGAAAAATTAGCATATGTATTTTACTAAGCCATTTACAAACATTTAAAAAGAAATGCGTAAGCTTTTCTCGTGATGTTAGTTCACGGAAAATTGTATATAAATATATCAACAAAAGGATCATGAGCTCAAACACAAATTAATGGAAGTATTGGTGATCAATGAATGACACTAGATGACTAGTACATATTGGTCAAAGATGTTTTAAATCTGTATTTTTTTTTAAATCTGAGAACCAAGAAGTGACATGAATTGAGGCTGCTTCAAGAGACAGGTTTAATCTGTACACAAAGTCCTAATACTGTCTTGTAAATGAAACAAGGGCTAAGTAAAGAAATGAATGACAAGTGTTTTGGCTGATTTGGCACAAATTTACATTAGCTTTTGTATTTTCTAACAATGAAGTAAAAAAAGAATCATTACATTTTTAAAAAATTGCCTAAATATAAAACATGCAAAAAATACAAGACTAATTTTAAAAAGACACTTAATAATTGTAAGGCAACAAAATAAAAATAGAATTGCAAGATAATAGATTCAGCAGATACAAAAATAATTAACTCTGACAAAACAAATATACAAATTAATTAAGACCATTTGCACTCAACTGGGTGAAGAAGTGTTATGTGCTCGGTGCCCTTCAAAGGCACTCTGTGATGGGTGTAGTAGTCTATCATATCTGGAATGGAACAAAACTCTTTGCTGTTTTTGCCCAATATGTAACGAATTTCTCCACTTTCTAATACCATTTGTTCAATTTGAACATGAATATACTGTTTTGAGCTCCTGAAAAAAGAAATTAACGCCATAATAGACAACAAACGTTAAAATAGAATCTCCATATTTGCAATACTAAATTTGTTAAAAGATGCACTTACTTTATTGAGAGAGAATAGGATTTTCTATCTGAACTGTGCCTAACAATGTAGCTCCCTTCTTTACAAACACACAGCATTTTCTCAGCATCTTCCCTGCTTATGTTTCCATGGAACCAGCTATTAGAAAATTAAATTTTATTTTTTTATTTATACACTTTCAGTGAACAGTGTAAAAAAAAGTAAAAAAAAAAATTATTTTTTTTAATTCAAAAAGCATTAACAATTAATGAGTTAAAAAGATAAAACTTTACTTTTGATTTGACAATGGAATCGAAGGGTTGATGCGCTGCCCAATGTTGCAACCTCTGCTTTTTGGTTTGACTTTGGAATCATCAACACTGCGGTATTCTTAAAGAAAATATGAATTTTTTTTAAGGTAAGCAATGTAATCTACATTTAATGAACTATAAGGTCCACAGGTTTTTTAGATGTTACCTGTTTTACCTCTTAAATAAGGGACTTAGCTCCTTTCAAGATCACACAGTGCAAAAGTATGATGACAAAATAAAAAACTATTAAATACAACTCTCTGGATTCACTTAAAATGAAGTAAGACGTATAAAATATGCAGGTTGAAAAATATTAAACTAAGATTATAATTGTGGCTCTTTCTTTAAGCATTAGTATATATTTTACAAGCTAAGTGTAGTGTTCCAGAAAAGAAAGCACTGAATGGGAATCTAAATTCTTTATTTTTTTTAAAATTGACCAAAATTTAAGGATACTTACTTCCCCTGACAACGGCAGACTTTAAATCACTACCATCAAATGCATCTGAGCTTGACCGCTGCCTCGGCAACCTTTCTGGTTCACTTGGCTTTTCTACATTCCCAGATTGAAGTTGAAACTTGGCCTGTAAGTTTTTTTGTTGCTTGGTTGAGTCCCATGGTTCTTCATATGTAGCAGATGCTTGCAGCTGCATAGCTCTGGAAAAAAAAAATCACATAAATATTGCCAATAACTTCAGGCAAAGCAGGACCTCTAATAAACTCTTGCAAAAAACACTGTTGATAGAGATTATCTAGTCACAGTACCTATATACAGATTTTCCACTGTCTCTTCTATATATTAACACTTTTTCACATTTTTCTTCACGACGAACAAGGGTAAATGTTAATTTCTCAAAATGACTACCTTATTTTTTGCTCCAGTAAACTATTTTTAAGATCCCATGCATCTTCATATGTATTTGTTGGTAATGGTTTTAAGGGTACATCTAGGTCTTTAGATGGTTCTATCTGTTATCAGATTGAAATAAATATGATTGTACAATTAACTGTCATGTGTGAATTTTAAATATGGCACTTGACCTGAAATTTTAATAAAGTAATCAAATATACTTGTTAATGTACTTAAATGTAGAATTCTTATCTTCTCAAGTAAAGTTAAGTTAATATTCTCCTTGAGGCTAAAATGAAATACATGCATATTAAATAGCAATACTAGTTTTGAGGATTAATACTTTTGCAAGGCAAAAACCTTACCTTTTGCGCTGGTAAAAGATCAGAAGCTTCAAAGAAGACATCTGCTTCAGATGTCTGAGATAAGCTTCTGGTGTTCATCAAATTCAACTCCATTTTATTTTGTTGAGTAGGGTACTCAGGAGCATCCTCATACAAAGAAGCTGTTTTCTTAAGCACTGGGCTTGAATCTGATTTCTTTCTTAACTCTTTATCTTTTTTCTCTTGTTCTTGTCTAAGTCTTTTCATCTTTAAGTCCCATGGCTCTTCATATGTTGCTTCAGTCCCAGGCGAAGGGGTTGCAGACTTATTGTAACCAAAGTCTTTTTGTGGTTGAGCCATGTCTGCAGGCCTTGAAATAGTTTTTAATGGACTGGCTGATGGTTTGCTGGAATAAACTGGAGTAGGTGTTACTGGAACTTTCTTGCTGTTGGCTGTAATACTGGAAGGGCTCTCATTATGAACACTGGAAAATGAACTTTTAAGCTGCGAAGATTCTGGATAAGTTGAACGGATTGAAGATGCTACTTCATATTCTATTTCAACAACTTTTTTGCTGACCCTTTTTGTATTTGTTTGTTCAGGGGTTTCTTTTTGAATACTTTGGTCAGAACTAGGGGATACGTCATTTTTTTTCTTGGCCATTTCATTCTTTGTGAATGAAGAAGATTCTAATGGCACTTTAGCAGCTCGTGGTTTGGGTGATGGTTTTGGTGGCATTGGTCCTTCACTTTCTCCTGGAATAGGTTTTGCTAGTTCATAGCCATCACCAAGATCCTTTTCGTTTGGTGGTGTATAAGATTTGAGTGGTTTAATCTTTTTAAAAGCATCTGAAACAATTCAAAATTTTAAAAAATCAGATGTTACACAACAAATTGGTTAAAAAGGTAAAACAATGTAACAAACTGTAATTGAAAACTTGAATGACAGTGTTTCTAAATGAAATTTGGAAATCATTTCAGCCATTTAACTTCCTCAAATTTTGAATTTTAAAAAAATGCTACAAAAAATACTACTTTATACTTCCTTTGATAATAGAGATTTTGTAATATAAGACAATTAAACAGTTTAAGACAGAACTGCATTCATCCAAACCTTGAGGTTGTGCATATCTATTATCTGGATCAGAACTGTCATCATCTTCTCCAACACCTAGTTTTTTAAATGGTGGTTGTGCATCAATAGGTACACTATAGTCACTTAAAGTTACCTGCAAAAGTTACATTTATTAAATTTAAAAAAAAAATAAAGCAATAGATGATTAAAAACATCAATTTACTTGAAATTCCTATAGAGAGTGAAAAATGTGTAATAAATAGGAATAGGAAAACAAATAATAATGAAATTATAATAATACTATACATAGTCCACACAATTTGAAAGAAACAAAATATTAGAATAATAAAATTGAAGTAACAAACATACAAACAGTAAATACTATTTAGTAAGTAACTTGCATACAGAAAAAAAATACCTGTAAGTGTATGTAATGTAATTAAAAGCAAAATTTCAAAAATAAAGGTTGGCAGAAAGAAAATGTATGTACAGCTTACAGTTTTTAAAACTTTGGTAGGAATAGCTCTAGAATATTCATCATGTCGATATTTTTGGCGAAATTCCTTTTTTTGGTTAGAGCTCATCTTTCAAATTCTCAAATTATTAAGACTACCATTTTGTCCAATTTCAACATCATAAAGAAGTAATATTTCTTTTCTGAAGCTGAAATAAAAAATGTGCAAATTTTTTGATAAACCAGGGATAGAGAAATATATACTAGATCTACTATTGGTTTTTGTTGATACATGTTGAACTCAAATTGTGTGTGGCTTGAATTAGGCCTAATTTTAAAAATTGTCTTCATGATAATGATGCGCCCCGCCCCCCATAAAAACAAGCTTTTTTTTTCATTTTTGCAAAGTTTTAAAAAACATATGAAAGATTGAAGAAAAATGTGTAGAAAATAATAACTTGGATAAGACAATAGCCAATAAAGCCGTGCCTATATCATTAACAATGTATTTAAATGTGGGAAAATCAAAAGTTTACACCCCTTTGAGCTTAATCCGACAATGTGGCAATTTTGGACTTTGGTATGAAATGAAACTGAGACTGGCGGTTATACCATGTGTCTGATAATGCCACAATGGGGGTGGTGGTGTTAGGGGTTGGGGAAAGAGGGGGTTATCGTCCTTAACGAGCTACTGATAGTGTTTTAAAGCAAATATATTCAGTGGCAGACTACCAGTTATTTATTAACACCCAATTTAAAAAAAAAAATTCAATTAATAATTTCATTTATTGTGGCTGGAATTATCAATCATAATGCCAGCCACAATAAATTAAATTATTAATTAAGATGATTATGAGACAATGGTATAACAAAAATAATAGGCCTATAATTATAATAGTCCTACTAATAGCCTATACATAATATTAATAATATAGGCCTATAATATATACTAAGATTACTCCACAAGTCTATATGCATGTAGATCTAGATCTATGTAGCAATAAAATGAGGTGTAGAGTGTAGACCTAACTATAGTTAACTAATAACTATAGATCTAGTATAGTCTGTATTAGTAATATATATAATTTATATATATAATAATATATATATATATTAGCCCTAACTAAGGCCTAACTAAACATTAAACATTTAACTTATCAAACTTAGTTATTAGTTAAATTAAAATGACGGCTCACTTAAATAAACACATGCACATGCCAGCCTAAATGAATCAGGAGTGAGCAATAGTCAGAGAGTAGCGCACCCCATTGGACAGAGACGAGCAGTGAGTGAGCAATCCACAAGACAAGAAGTCTTGAAGAAGAAAGTCACAAGTTTGAGCTGAGTTGTGTTACAGTTACAAGTTACTATTAAATTAAAAATCAAATAGAATCCTACTCTTACTAGTCTAGCAGTGGCTCTTCAAAAATAAATAGGCCTATTTCTAATACACTTGTATTCAAATTCTCCGAATAAAACTTACTAGATCTAGATTTAGCAGCGATTTTTAGTAGTGTGTAATAAGAGACAAGGATGTGCTAATAACATTTTTCTGCTCTAAGTCTAACTTTAGCCTAGAATAGAGATCTTTTTTTTTCTTCCGTGTTGAGCGTAACTCTTCATAGTTGAAGGTTTAAAATGCTTTTACAATTTACAATAGGCCTAACCAGCTGCTTGCATAGTCTAGCTAGAGTCTAGATGTAGATTTAGTAATAAATAGTAGGCTAAATAAACTGCGTTTCTATAGGCGTTGACACTTTCCTACTGCTACGTAACATAATTTTACCATCTCGTCTATTCCTTTTAATAGGCCCAGACCCACATGGACTATAGTATATAGGCCTACTGCTACATAACCTAGTCGGCAGTCTGCCTACGTCTACATCTTTATAACTTAAAATACTAATACATTCAGACAAACGGATATTGCCGCTGAAGTGTTCCCTAACCTATTAATAGTTAGCTTAAGTTAAATTGATACTTTTTTAAAGTGAAATATAAAGACCGACGTCAACTAAGCACATCTTCATTTCTTATTTGACAACCTTAAAGCTCACTGTCTAAAAATAATCTTCAAAACTTAGGGCCTAATTTAATTTCAAAAATTAAACTAGAAATAAATTATGTAAGGGATCAGCCATAAATGACGACGTACATCTCCCCCCCCCCACCATGATGACAAAAATTCATCCTCTAATTATCAAGCTTTCATTTAGCTCACAACGTCTGTGGGTTTGTGGCAAATCTTGTAATTCAATTTTGCCGCACTTCTAATGCAGCGATTTCGTTCAAACCTTCCAGATACGTTCCACTTCGATGACAATACAAATCTATTTTTTTAAAAATTCATTAGATGTTTAATTAGTCATTAAATAATAATTAAAAGATTTCGAAAACCAAGGGGAGATAACAAAATAAACCACTCGATAGATTTCAATAACAGAAGGGGAAATAACTAGGTAGACGCAATCACCTTAACAGTCTGGTTAGTTTTGGTTCACGAGAAAGTTTAAAAAACTAATTTAACCTTTACAGCAGCAAGCTTTTAAATTAAACTAATTTACTTTCTTTAATAAAAACTTTTGTTGCTAAAATAAGTAAAAGATCCCATGAGCGACCAAGGCTTTTATTAAAGAAAGTAAATTAAATTTTAATTTCAGTGCATTTAAAAGCTATAAAGATTTCTTATAGTTGTGTTATTTTAAGATAATTTTTCCCCTCAAATTTACTATATTTGCTGAGCCCAGCCAAGACTCAAGGTTAAGCTTATTTAATTGATAATTTTAAAAAAATTGCAAGCGACATTTACATAGTCTTTATGGACAACCCCTATCACATAGGCCTACTGTTGTCATACTATTTGCTGAAACTAACATGTCATACGGGGCTGACATAAGATCATTTAGCTTCAACTGCACTTTTATTTAGGTCTTGGGAAAGCTCAAAATCCAATGTTTTTGCCAACATTTGCCTTTTTGTCAAAAATATTTTAATTTTTGCAAAAAAAAAAACAACAAAAAAACAACATAACAGCAGTTATATTTTACCAATCATGTCCTTACAATTCATAGAAATATAGGCAGTAATAATTAGGGCCAGGCCAAGTTTAGAACATGTTTTGAGATTTATTTTGGTAATGATTCTTGAGCTTATGTTACGTTATGAACACGTCAGCGCAGTTCTTAAAAAAAAATTTGAAGGCATATTCATAAATAAACCTACTTAGAAATGGGCTTAACAATCCTAAAGTGTAACTAACTCATCGGTACACAAAGAAAAAAATTTATTATCCAGGAACTCATCTCAATTTCAGGAGATGAGATCAGTAAGTTATTCTTTTAAACCTAATAGTCCATGTGGCTGATGAAGTCTGAGTTAACGTTTCTCTGTGAGCTCAGCATATGAAGAGATAGTCTGGTCAGCAGCACTATGCCCAGCTGCCTTATGCAAGTCAGCTAACCATTAAAGCTGGATGAACTCAGGGATGTCCTTCAGCCTTAAGCCTGGAATCTAAACTCAAGCTGGATTAGCAGAAGGCCACTCTGCCATAAGACCACTGCTTATAGTAAGTTAATAAACAACAATCAGTGGCTATATTCCAGCAGCCAAAAGTTTTGTTTGCAATTATAGTAGAGAAAAGAAAATTTATCTCTCTCTTTAATTTTATACAAACTACATTAAATCATCACAAAAAGTAAAAAAGGAAATTATTTTTCAGTAAATAAAAAAATTTAAAAACACTAATACGGTCTTGTTTATTTTATTAATCACATAAGGTTTAAAAAAAAAGTCAATTAAACGCAGTAAACAAACATTGAAAAACAAACATTGGAAGTGTGAGCCAATCAACAAAAGATTTTTGCCTGGTATTACAAGTAATGACAGTGGCATTTCACTTTAATTAAAAAAAACCCATTTGCTAATCATTTATTCTGAAATAACAAATACTCACTTCAAAAAGGCATTGACAACATGCAAATCAACTGAGATTATTATTCACTTAGACAATAAAAAAAAACAGCATTTATTCTGTGGCATCTTTCTTTTCTACTGAGTATGGTGAGTCCACTGGTATAACACCACTGTCCACAATGACAACATCTTTGTTTGGTTTATCTCTTGAATCAGTTGGTGTCTTTTCTATTTTTCTTACAACATCCTGTTTTAAATATATACTTCAATTATAATCATGTCAAAAAATGAAAAAAAAAAAAAACATCCCTTTCCTCTTATCCTAATGTTTTTAGTTATAAAATCACTTAATCAACTTAATGCTTATTATTACTTCACTGAACACTCTAGCAAATGAACACAACTTGATTTCATTAAATTACTGTATTTATTTAAAAATGTAATATTTATATATCCCAAATAATCAAAAATTAATTAACTAATTAGATTAACTGATTATTTTTATAATAAAATAACTATGTGTTGTCTTTCACTGATTAGAATTCGATAGAGTAACTTAGAACTAGTTTGCTTCGATAAAAATAAAGTTAAAATGCTCAATTTACCATGCCCTTGACAACCTTTCCAAAGACAACATGGCGACCATCAAGCCATTCTGTTTTTTTAACAGTGATAAAAAACTGTGAGCCATTCGTATCTTTCCCAGCATTAGCCATTGACAACCAACCAGCTCCATAATGCTTGAGCTTAAAATTTTCATCCTTGAAGCGATCACCATAGATACTTCTACCTGTTATAGATTTTAAATACTAGTTATTATTTTTTATCTGGTTACATTTTCAAATATATTAACCTTCTTTTCAGCCTAAGTCATAAAATAAATAAAGTCGCAATAAAAGAAGAGGATTGTTTTTGTGTGTAATGCTCACTAACCTCCTGTTCCATCACCCCTTGTGAAATCTCCACCTTGAATCATAAAATCCTTTATCACACGGTGAAATTTGCTTCCTTTATAAGTTAGTTTTACTCCTTTATCCTGTAAAATAAAAAAAGTTAAAGCACATACTTATATCTATGTCTATCTATCTACCTCTCTCTCTCTTTCTATACATACATACAGTCACAAGTCCAGGAAATATTTTAAGTTTAATAGCCATTAGTGACAATCTGTATTGTTTAAATTAAAAACCAAATGTTAACCAAAACATAAGAGCTGATATTATTAAATTTAAAAATACATTTATCATAAAAGATACAAAATAATTCTGACCTCAGTATCACCTATGGCTAATGTCTTGAAGTTCTTTACTGTTTCAGGAACTGTTTTACCAAAAAGACCAATTTCAATTCTTCCGGCTTTCTCTCCGCCAATTTCAATGTCAAAGAATACCTATAAGAATTTTTAAATAAAGATTTATTGGGGACCTTGACTTAAACCTACCTGAACCTCATTTTACTGAGCATAAAATTATGTTTATAATCTATTACTTTGAGTTTAGTCTTAAGTGTACTTATTTTCTAATGAAAATGGGTATAGTTTAAAAGCAATCCATACTGAAACATACACACTTAAATTGTTACTGTTAGTATAAACAGATTAATAATACAATCTTACTCTAATTTCAGATTTAAATATGAAATGAATTATGGGCCTATTTAATAATGTGCTCCATCTAGAAACCTAATACAGAGACTAGTTAATACCTTTTCCATTATGATCTACGGCTAAGCTTATGTTAAATTTATAAAACTTAGTTATATAAATTTAACATATAATCAATTTATCAATTAGAAGAGTGGCTGTCCCCAGCTAACGAGAATTATCTGCCTGAGGATTTGAACTCGAGACTTTTCGGTTTAGCAACCATGAGCTTTACCAACCTCGACCACGCCGACTCCTAATGCATATTTAAATTAAATACTTTTTGCTAGTATTTTTGTGAAGCCTAATTTCTACAAATTTCAATTATTATTTTTGTAAATAGCCTTGGTCTAGCTTGCCTAGATTAGTTAGATCTAGACAACATGATGATAAAAAAAATTTGCTTAGTCCTAACTATTAGGCCCTACTAATTATAGCATAATTTATTCGCCACTTGTTCGCATTCAGTTGAGCGTATTTTCTTGAAACACAACATTTTCACTGGTATTGGTCAAATAAGGACATCGCATATTGATTTTAGTATTTCACTTGCATGGTGTTACGACCAACTGGGGTTTGACTATGGCTGACCTGTAGGTTGGGCTAGTGACTGTACTCTCATTCATCAGCCTTGCCATGGCTAGAAGCTGTCCAGTGTTGGCCGTGAGAAACCTGAGGTCTGGCCAAGCAGATAGCTGGTGTGAGGCTGAGTATAGTGACGGTTAGTAGTTTACGACTTAAACACTCATGGACTGGCCAATACTGACAGTGGGAAGCTTGGGGGCTGGCCTATTAAGATTTGACAGTAGTGATGGTGTATAATTACCCCTGTGTAGGCTAGGATTGACAGTTAGGGACAAGTAGGGTAGTCAGACTAAGGGCATTTTTTTTCTCATTGAAGATAGCTGTATTTTTCTAATTGTGTTTCACGTGGTGGCGGGTTAACATTAATTTATTCTTATTGTGCCGTTAAAATAAATAGTAGAAGTTGTGACTAATTGTGTTAATTCATTATTAGTTCTTGTTCAATACTGTTCATGATTCCCACCCAGTTCGAAAGGATTAGAGAAGGGGGTCATAACAATCATAATATTAACTTATGACCCCAAAAGTGATGTCACCACAATTTCAAAACCAATTAGTTAATTAGTAAATAATTAGTAGTTGTGTTTATAATAAAATACGCTCAACTGGCGGTGAATGTGAAGCGGGGAATAAAATACGCTAAAATGGAGTTTTACCAGGCTTTGCAGCTACTAGATTTCTAGAAAGTAGACTAGATCTAGTACTAAGTTAGTAAGTACTGTAAGTACTCTAGTCTAGTAGATCTAGATTCTAGATCTAGATCTAGGATTCTAGATCTAGTAGGCAGATAAGAATCTATTAGATAAACTTTCAGTGCTTAACTCTCGCCCGGTTTAGTCTAGATTCTAGATCTAGATTTTGCAAGCAATTGTAATAGACAGTAGTCTAGATATCTACTAAACTAATAGTAACTGTAATGACTAATAAAATGTAATGTAACAGTACAGTAACAGTAACAAATTAGTAACAATGCCATTGCCATCCCATTTCACGCATTTGTTTAAAGTTTAACTTTTTTTCTTTGTGGAAAAAAAAATTGAAGATAAACAAACCACATCTGTAACTTTAGGCCCTTTGTCGCTTGAAACAAGAGTTGTCACAGCAAATACAATAACACATGTTGTAATTAAGCCCATGGTGACTGTTATTGCCAAAGCACGGCAATTTCTTGAATGAAACCGCGTTTCTATTGTTGTTGAAAATCGAAACAAGCAAAATTTAACTTAACCGGTCTAGCTAGGGCCTAAGACTTGGACTCTTTTTATTGGACAAAACTTATTTCCGGAAGTAAAACGTGTAGCCCTAAGACTAAGAGTTCCTAAGGTCACGAGATCGTTTGCGATACCAACAGATTGTATTACTGAGCATTTATTTTATTTAGGCCTTGGTGATGTGTCAAATAATTAGAGACAATATTACTAAATTGTATCTGAGTGTTATGAGCAGCGACAGGAAAGGGCAAATTATAAGAACGATCAAGGGCGGCCCTCGATTGCCTTAATAATAATTAATAGGTAATAATAGCCTTTTAATAGGATCTAGTCATAAACAACAAAAATTATCAGCTCCTATCCCTCCCCTCTGTTTTCATCAGTGTAGTGTTGTAAATAAAATGCACAATAAATAAGGCGGCCATTGCTTGATATCAAGCTATTAATTTTTTACCTTTTTTTTTGTTCATAGGCGTATCCAGAAAAGGGGCTGGGAATCAGAATCACCCCTACGGAGTCAACATGGTTTGACAAGATGGGTTCTATCATAAGTGTTGAAAGGATAGAAGTGACGTTTCCACCCCCATCCCCCCCGATCTCGCCATCATTGGGACCGAAAAAAAAAATTACAAAAATTAAATAATTTTTTTTAGAATAAATGTTATTAAAGCTGCAAATGCAGAGAACCTGCAAAATATTTTTTTGCGTAAGCTAAGGCTACATCTATATACTACTAAAAGTCAAGTTTGTTTACATGTTTGAATATTTATTTTTTTGTTTTTTTGTTTGTTTGTTTGTTTGCCTGATCGACTATTGCGATATGTTCGACTCTATCTGTAGAGCTGTAAAATAGTATGTAGGTAGAGAATAATTTTTTAATGCAGACAGACTGTTAATCACAAATTTATTTAAAGACTATAATTAATTTATTGATTTATTCATAGTTAAATTAACCGTATTTTTTTTTAAATGTTAATACTTTGAATAAACTTTGTGGGGATAGTGACGTCCCTTGATGTGTTTACTTTTTGGTTCAATAAAAATGGCGGACTCCATCATAGACTTTGTGGCCCATTCAAAAGTTTAACGCGTTACAAAGCTAATTTTCTGCCGGCTATAACTTAAACAATACGTCCGTTTGCTGTATTTATTACGTTCCAACACTTATATCAATTTTAAATTGTCTTTTTTCATTTAGTTTTACAATAAATTTCTCTAGATCTAAAGATCAGCTGTCGAAGGAAAGTTATTTATAGATCTATCATCTAGATCTAGATCTAGAATCTAGGTCAAATCAAATCTAATTTTCTGTCGGTCATAACTTTAACAATACGTCCGTTTGCTGTATTTATTACGTTCCAACACTTATATCAATTTTCAACTGTCTTTTTTCATTTAGTTTTACAATAAATTTCTCTAGATCTACAATCTGTCCAAGAAAGTTATTTATTTATAGATCTAGATCTAGAATCTAAATCTAGGTCAAATCAAAAATTTATTAGTTATAGATCTTAATACAAACCAAAAAAGAAACGAGACTTAAGCAAACCAGTCGTAGATCTAGAATATAGATAATTCTATCTAGATTTAGATAATAATGAGTTTCTATATACTAAAATATTTTAGACCTTTATTATTTTGTATAAACCTTTGTTTCGACTATGCAAATTTTGAAGTGCAGGCTCCAGGGCGTATTTGCGCAGCTTAAGATTCATACGCTGCTTCTATACCGGAATTTTGCTAAATTATAAACGTAAATTCTAAATATAGCTCAGTCGTAGATCTAAAATATAGATAATTCTATCTAGATTTAGATAATAATGATTTTCTATATACTAAACTATCTTAGACCTTTATTATTTTATATAAATCTTTGTTTGGAATATGGTAATTTTGAAATGCTCGCTCCGGGCCTATCAGCGTAGCTAATGATTAGATCTAGATCTAGATCTAGATCTAGATCTAGCAAGAAAAACTAAACTTAATAAGACCTAAGCAAGCGAGTCGTAGAATATAGATCTAGATAGAATTATCTAGATCTAGCTAATTTCAGAACTTCTTTATTTTATATAAATCTTTGTTTGGCTAATTTAAGATTAAATTTAATTTGAAAGTTACTACTACTAGCCTAATATCAAGATCTATGCGCGGAGACTCAAAAGTATAGTATAAAAATTCATTTGTGACGTCACGAGTAAATAGCTAAGTTGGTAGCGTAGCCCGCTCTCATGTGGGTGGCACAGGTTCTAGACCAATATGTCAATGATATTTTTTTTTCAATTTTTTTTTTTTTTAGATGTGAATGATAAAGTTGCCTATCTGAACTTGCCAGGATACAGGGCAGGTGAAGTAGAGTTCATCTGTTTCTTTGTCCTAAGCATATAAAAGGATAGTGTGGTCAGAGACATGATCGGCTGGAATCGTTTTTAAACGATAAAAACATGTTGTCTGAGACTTGGCGGGACACTGGGCAGGTGAAGTAGAGTTGAGTAGGTCACATGTGACGTCAGTATATGAAGGGATAGTCCGAAATCGGTGTTTTCGGTGTTTTTAAAAGATAAGAAACATATTTTTGAATGTGGGGTCTGTTTTTTGTGACGATAAGTGACACTGCAGTAGCGTAGCGAGAAGGGGGGGGGGGGGGGGGCGGGGGGGGGGAGGGGAGGCGGGGGAGGTGGAGGGGGGAAGGGGGGGCGGGGGGACATATGTTGGGGCGCCAAAATGGTTTCGAAAAATAAATTGAAAGGTTGAGGGGGGTTCAAATCGAAAGTTTGAGTGGGGGGGGGGGTGCACATCAAAAGTTTGAGGGGGGGGGGGTTGAAAATCGAAATCTTGGGGGGGGGGGGGGGTTAAAATCGAAATGTTTGTCCCCGGGCGCCGGGAAGGCTCGCTATGCCTCTGAGTGACAGACGTGATGTTTTTTTATGGATGACCCCCGAAACCCACAGTTATCCAACGGATGACGGGTATTCTAGTTTCTAATAAATTTCTATTTATTTTCATCAAGCCTAAATTATACACTGAATTTTCATTTTCGTAGTGATTTGCATTCAAGACTTTGCCGATACATGTTTGTAAATAAAATTAATTTAAAAAAAATAACCACATGACCTAGTAATGTCATGGTGATTTACATATTCATATTTTCACATTTAGTATTTAGTGATAAAAAAAAATAAAAAATTCCAAATTATTTTTGGCTTTTAAAAACTTTTGTTTAGTTAGGGCCTACCGAAAATACTTAAAACATCAAACACATTCAGTATTTAGTTAAACCCCACAAAAACCTCGCAGTATTGTTTCAGTATCAAAAAGAAAAACATTTTAAATACTTTATATATTAGATTGATTCACTTAAAGACTATAGTAACCTTTCTTATCCATAGTCTATTGCACTGTTTAAAACGAAATTATGCACCATAGGATAGCCCAGGGCGCCAAATCGAACCGTGCCGGGGGCGCCGGCGGACGCGTCTGTTTCAATTTAGTTAACAATTAAAATACCCCAAGCTTATCCGCAAACGGAAAGAAGTAAACATAGAGGACATTTAGGAGCTGGCTTATTGAAAAAATATAATAGTAAACAGTACGTTCAGTGTATAAAATAATTAATAGGCAGTATTTAAAATACCTACCACATTTGCACTTGATCAGTCCGTGCTTTGTAAGTGTTGTTTTCCCAACACTAAAACAAAATAATAAAAAGTAACCCCCGATGTAATGGTTTCTTTAAAGGGAAGTAATTATGTTTTCCTAATTTGTCAAAGGACGTAATGAGTGCTAAAGGACTAAATGTAAATAATTTTAAGACCAAATTACAATTTTTATGAAGGAAGATACATTTTCTTTCATTTGTTTGACAGACATGCCAAAATTAATACTATAAGTTTGAAAATTGTTTCACACCTTCAATATTAATTTTTAATATCACGAACTTAGACGATGAGTACTTTAGAAGTTTAGACGAATAACACTATGATGACATAGATCTAGAAGTATTATTTTTTTTCTGATATTATTTGTTATTCAGTATTTGCCCGCCACAGTATTATCTTTTTTTCATATTCCTTTGTAATCCTCGGTTTGCACGCCACATACAGACTTGAACTTATATATATATATATATATATATATATATATATATATATATATATATATATATATATATATATATATATAGATATATATACAGTGGCGTAGCGAGGGGGGGGGGGCGGACCGCACCGGGTGACACTATTTAGGGGATGACACCAAGGCAAAAAATATCAATATATAGAGAGAAAAATGATAATTCCACTTAATTAAGTGATTAATTCGAGTGTTAAAACGTCTTTTAAGAGCAAATTAGACAAATCCCGACATGGGTGGAGGGGGGGGTTCAAACCGAACGTGCCGCACCGGGTAACACCCGACCTCGCTACGCCACTGTATATATATATACATATATACATATATTATTATATTTATATGGACCACCCGTCTACTTATTTATTAAAATAAATTTTATTAAAAAGATGAGTTGTTTCTTTTAATCATTTATTTAGTCATGTGCATGTACTCATGAAAGGCGATTACGAATGGTTCACAGTAGTTAACTCTCTTTGTCAATGTAAGCACATAATAGTAACGTAGTGTAGCTCAGTGGTGGATCTGGAAAAAAGTCCTCTCCTTCTTTCCTCAAACATTTTCTTTTGGGACTTCTTCTAGTCACAAGCAAACAGACAGTTTAAGTTTTAAAGTTAATCCAATTAACCCCTGCAGTACATTCAGCACCTGCTTTAACCTAACACATGTTACAAATGCAGTGGCGTCGCTAGGTTGGGTATCACCCGGTGCGACACTTCGTGGTGTCACCCCCAAGAAACAAAGTAAATACATTTATATGTGTGTGTGTGTATGAGTGTATATGTGCATAAGCTTTAATCACTGCAGACTTAATAGTAACAATGTTTATCTATAATTAGCACTTTTACGCCATGGTGTCACCCCACCCTGTCGTAATAATTGTCGATTTGTACTTAAAAGACTATTTAACTTTAATTAATCATTAATGGAACTGGCA